TTTTTCCCAAAAGATCGCAAACAAGTGGAAACTTTAAGATTCATAAACAATAGGAAGTCTGAAGCCTTATGAAAACTTCAAGAAATCCCAGGTTTTAAGGAACCAAGGAACGTTTGAACTCGAAAAGACGATCCCTTAAACTTTGAAAATTATGGCAGTGGTTACATTTTTAGAAAGTAGGTGGGCACACACAACAATGAGAAAGTCGATGTTCAGCTTTGCCAATTCGGCTTAGTTTAGAAAAATCTCAAAATATAAGCAACACAATTATGAGAGTGTAGTCTCAAACCAAGAGTTCTTTTGCCTAGCCTAAGCAGAGCTCAGTAGCTCACGGGCTGAGTGTGCCTTCCAAAGTTAAGACCTCAGCCATTCAACTCAACAGTTCTTTAGTTCTTCAGCTATCTAGCTTGGTAATTCTATTTCAAGAAGAACTAAGTCCTCCTCGAAGTAAGGGGGCAAGGAGAATAGAAAGCATAACAAGAGCACAACAGCACAATAAACAGAAGTACAACCAACAATACAACAATTCAAAAAAGCAATGTATATTTACATTTCCCAAAGGTAGCAGAGTACTAGGAAAACAAAACAACAACATAAATTCTTCAAAAAAAAAAAATCCTAAGTCCCTGTGGCAGGAGCAGAAGAAGTATCCAACAACTCAATAATAGAAACCATAGAAAGATCAGAAGTAAGTGAAGGCAGAAGGACCTCTGATAGAGCAAGAGCAGGGGCAGGAGCCTCATCTTTAGCTAGGGGAAAAGTCAACCCAGTCTCGAGGTCAATAGGGAAATCACAAGAAACAAGAACACTAGCAAAGACGTCAGCAGAAGCAAAGGGAAAATCAGCAACTCCAACGGTAGGATCAGGGACTGGGACTACAAAAATAGCTAGAGCAGAGGAAACATCTGCGGCTAGGACCTCGGCAGTAGGAGGAGGTACTTCAGTGCCAAGCTCGAAAGCTAAGGAAACTAAAACCCCAGCCTCTTCTTCAGCACCTGACACCTCCTCCTCATCGAAAGAGGGCTCAAAGTCAAAATCCAAGTACGGATACTTACGCATGGCTTGACGTTGAAAAGTAAAGTACCTAACAACGAACTTGGTAGTGACATCATCTACCAACTTAGCGGCCAGAGCATCTTTATGCCTAACAGCAACTCTCTGCACCTTGAGTTCACTCCGAAAGATGTCACTCGTTTATGCCAAAACTTCGTATTCCCTTTTCATGCTCATATAAGAGCCCAAAGCCTCGAAGGCCTCCTTGCTAGCTTTAACCCAGTCATTAATTTTCAGCCTAAGCTCCTCACTGGTCTTCCTAAGCTCCTATTTGGTCTTCTTACCCTTATCCTTAATCCCCTCTTTCTCGACTTCCAATCCCTTAATGATAGAAGTTTGTCCCTCCACCTGCACTTGTAGATCTTGGACCTAAGCTTGGAGGTCATTGTTAGCAAAGGATAACTTGGCAGCTTAGAACTCAAATGCCTTCGACGCCTTGGCAGATCTTTCCAGAGCTTGGATATACTTCAACAAAACACTTACATGAATGGCCAGCTAGAAACGAACACAACCCAAAAGCTAAAATTAGCATGAGGGAATGATGCAAGACAAAAGTGAAATTTGAAAAACCAGAGACTTATCGAAGTAGCACTGTACAGGGTAGTGGAGATAGAGGATCCAAGGGGCATAGTTGTAGCCCTCTGAATGTTAAATTCTGGGATAATAGAGGCAATGACTTCTGCTGCACGTTTTATGTTATTAATGAGGGAGCCCTCACTTTTAACTTTGGGGTGTTTTCCTTTCTCAGTTTTGGAGTCCTTTAAAAATAGTTAAGTGGACTCTCTCGACTTCTGCTGAGGAGGGAAAGGTCAGAATTGCTCCTTGTTCAAAAACCCTTTTAGAAAAGGGAGGCATGACCCCTCCAGGAAGGGAGATCTAAGTGACCTTCGATGAGCTTGGTGGTGGAACAAGGGCCTCATGGGACGAAGGAAGAGAAGCAGAAGACACCTTGGCAGAAGGGGTAGCACCACTTTCTGAACTAACCTCCGCCTTGCTTTTGCCTTTACTCTTAGTCCTCTTCATTTGGCTGACCTTTGCCCTAAAATCCTTAGTAGAGGGCTCTACGAAAGAAGAACCTATAAGCTCAAGACAAATAAATCAAAAAGGAAGAAATGAGATAAAAATTAAGAACAGAAGGAGGAAATGTTACTTGGCACCTCCTTAACTCCAACTACAAAAATAGGGATGAGAGTCTCAACCCTCACTTCTAGAGGACTAAACTCAAGTTCAGTGAGCACTTGGGGCTCGATGAGCTCAACATATCTCTCTGCATCACAATCCACTAAGCTCAGCAGAACTCGTTTATCCTTCGTGTTGAGCTCAGGACGAACACCTAAAGAACAAAACAAAATAAGCAGAACAAGGTCAGTGGAATAATTTGTCAAAATTGACCCAATCTTACTCAAGTTGTCAGGAACAGACCAGGCCGGAGGCACTAGAAGAGTGTCTGCTACGTCTTTGGGATTATACTCCCATTCTCTGCCCCATACAAAAAAGAAGAGTTTCTTCCAACCCTTATAGGAGCTTAGAAGGTCAATAATGATTGGTCGAGTTTTTACCCGTTTTGAAATATACAATAAGTCGTCGGAAGGAATATACTTGACATTAAAGAACTTCATGAACAAAAACACTGTAGGAACTCTAAGATCATGTTTCTTAAAGAAAACAAGGAGACCCACTAGAACACCCCAAAAATTAGGAGAAAGTTGAGCAGTGCAGACGTTAAAAATGATGCAAGACACTCTTAAGGAAGGGATGCAGTGGAAAACAAAGGCCTTTATCGAGATCAGCCACGAAGAAACAGACTTTCTTAGGAATGGGAGAGTCATAACGAATGTCCTTGTCTGGGCACTAATACTTCAAATCCCCAAGAAAACCAAAACGAGCACATAAGACCCTCATGAAAGGAAGTGTGACCTCGCTGGAACCCACGGGATCTGAAGCTCTGGGGGCAGCCCCCACACCTTCAACGCTACTAGGAATTTCAATACCACTCACTTTGACTTTACCTTTATTGAATTTTTTGGGTATAGGGGGGAAGACGAGGAAGGCCCCCTCAGTGTCAACAAAATCGACACTAGAAAAGTTATCAATCTCCTCACCCACATCTCCTAAATCGACATCATCCTTAGCAGACCTGCTACCCATGAGGGAAACAAAGAAAGCTGTAGCTTGGGAAAAGACAGATATAATTGAACAGGAGAAAGGAAACCTAAAAGATCTATAAAGAGGGAGAACTTCCACAAAACAGTCCCTAAGGGTTAAAGGGTCAAGACACTAGTGGCCGATGAGGAAAACTCTAGCAGTGGAATAAGGGTCCAGAAAAAGGGGGAGAAGGGACAAGGAGTAACCTTGATTCCTAAAATAGCAAAAATGAAATGTCCAAAAGTGCAACAACCACCTCAATTTCGAGGGATCCAAAACAAAGAAATGAGCAAGAGCCAAAGAACGTACCTAATCAAGGACGAGCGACAAACCGAAGCCCAAATTGCAATCAGAAAGTAGGCCTCGCAAAGCCCTCAAATCAAGTCAAGGGAAGCCAATTTTCAGTGAAAACCCTAAGAATACCAACAGATTGGGGAAACTAAAATTGTAAGGAAGAAAGGAGGCAGAGACTAGAAAGAGAAATCGAACAAGGAAGTGATGCAGTTCTGATTGTCTTAGAAGCATTTAAAGCTTGGCGTACGTGGGTCTTCAAAACGCGGGACGTGTGCGAGAAACAATGAGAAAATTATTGCTCAAAACCGTCAGAAAGGACTCTTCGTGAGCAAATCGAGGTCGCCACATGGAGGTGTGACTTAACTCAGCTGCAGTTTAGCCCCTGCTCAAACCCACTTTAACTAGAGACTGAGGGGCAACTGATGATACCTAGGAAAAATTATGAGTTTGAGCTCGAGAATTGAGATCAGGAAGGGAGCTTAGCCACACAAACTTGAGCTCCGAGGTCCTGACCTCAAGCCTCTCGACCTACCCCGAAGAAAATGAGTGGAAGACAGTTGGCAGCCACCTAAAGCTCCCTTAACAGTAGTAGGCACCAGTCTTGGTTGAAGATCCTCAACCGTCTAAATCTTCCCCTGAAATCACTAGAAATGTTACGGAAGGTAGGCAAGGATCTCGCCTTGAATCCAATGGAATTAGGAATTATGCTATAAATATTGTACAATGTCCTCATTACAGGGGCAAGCCATTTAAATTATATCAAGAACACTATGTAACCCTCTAAAAATCATCAATATAGATCACATGAACAAAAGACTCTATTGAAGAATGGATTAACCGAGCTCCCGAAATAGTGAACCACTATAACTCCACAGTGTGAATCATCCCTTATTCCCAAATCATAGCACTATTCTCTCGAACCTAGTAGTTTAGATCGAACCTTACCTATATATAAGCATTTTGCTCATCTATGTTTTACACCACCATCAGGTTAAGACCTGTTATCAGTTCAATGATGATGATATAATGGATCAGTAAATCAGGTCCATATTTTAAGTCGTAATAATATTATTGAAAAAATAACAATCACATGTATATTACTTAATTACCCAAAAAGCAGGTCCAATTAAAATCTTAATACTAACTAAACTCATACAGCTGGCATGACCCATTATCATATTGCAACATGTCATTGGAACCAGAATTCTAGACCGATCTCTACTCCTCATGTTTGTGTAATAAAAAAGTTTGCGAAAACGAAGTCCATTTGTCTCTCTCCTAAAGGTTCTCCGTTCCAGTTACTGTCCAAAATTGGGTCCACAACATCGCACTTTTTGCCTTTCCCTTCTCCCAGACTCAGATCTTTGTATTCAGGAAATCCCTAGAAAGCCACTATCTCTCCTTTTTCTTCTCGAATCTGTTCTCATTTCACTTTAATTTCTCGCTGTCTTATAGTTTGTTAGTCTCTGAACCGTACAGTTAAAGCTTTGCTTTTCTTTAAGTACTTATTTTTTCTACTGGGTTCTTCGTAAATCGATTGATTTTGAGGAAAGCAGCCGTTTTCGGCATATGGGTTTGGGAAATTCTAGGTTCTTGCGAGAGAGTATTGCCTTTTCTTTCTTCAATTTTAACTCAAAAGCATATTTTACCCAACTGGGTTTGGTTTTGGATTCTGGGGCAATAGCTGAATTTCCAAGCACAGTAACCAATTGTGGAGCGTAAGCTTGGGAGATACTTGGTTTTGGTTGTGAATGTTTGTTTTTAGGGCTTTTTTGTGAAAGGAAGAAGTGATATTGATCTCTGGGTTTTGTTTATTTTTGTGCTTGTGACAACAGCGGGTTTTGGTTTTTGAGGTCTAAGTCATGGGGTGAATTTCAAGAAATAGTTGGTTGTCTTTGTTGGAATCAGTGTTAAATTTGGAGGAGAGAAAGAGAGAGAGAGGTTAGAGAGAAAATGAAGAGAGGGAAAGATGAGGAGAAAATTATGGGACCTATGTTCCCAAGGCTTCATGTTAATGATACAGAGAAAGGAGGGCCACGAGCACCTCCAAGGAACAAGATGGCCCTGTATGAACAGCTAAGTATCCCTTCCCAGAGGTTCAACCCTGGGGTTTTGCCTGTTAACCCCAATAATAATACCAATTTGGTGGCTCCTGCATCATCAAGCCAGGTGAGTCGAATTCATATTCTTGTGAAGTTGTGATTGTTACAAAATTCTCATGTGCTTGAACTTGATCATTTTGCTTTATCAATGTTTTCTTATTTTCTTCACATTTTGTGCTTAGTCTGTAGGACTATTTGCAGATGAAGAATTGATAATTCTAGTTAAAAACCTATTTCGGGTTTTGATCAGTCGACAACTTATTGTTGTTGTCTGAAAAGAAACATAGATGTTATTTTGTTTTCTTAATTCGATTGGAATATATTTTATGTATGGAAGGTGGTTTGGCTGGAGGAAGGTACTGCTTGGTAATGTGTTTCTATCCAAAGTAGTTTTCTATGCACAAAAAGCAAGAAAGCATTAATTAGCATGTGGTTATATCCAAAATATACTTTTAAACGGCAGAAAATATTTGTTTCTAGAACTATAGTTTTTCCTTCTTGTTGTTCATGTTCACTTCCCTACACAAGTACAACAACATATTGAATATTAGGCACAGTATAGTACTTATGCATCGAAATCATGAAGGTTCCTTTTGAAAATAATCATCAAACTTGCTTTGACTTTGTTTGATTTTGAGCAACGAGAAAAATTTAACTATTAGCTTTTCACTTATTACTAGTGCTTTGTGAAAGCATTTTCAAACGGTGTCTAATGACTTTTGTTCAATGTGTAGTTTGCCTAGTCTTATGATTTGTGCCCTGAATCAGCTGCTTCTTTTGAATGACTGTGATTAAGCATGATTCTTATTCTTATGTTCGTTGTTAGCAGTTTAGAATCACACTTGCTACACCCATGGCATCTTTGTCATTTTTAAGTGGTTTCTACCCTTCTCCTTTCTCCTTTGTCTTGTCTAAATCTGTGTTGGTCCTTGGTGTGGTGTGTTCATGATTTTGAGATATGCACTCAAAGTGAACAATTAATAATTGCAGGGGATGGGACATGAAAGGAGTACACCTTTCCCACTTCAGCTATCTCCTTCAGTGCATCCAGTAGAGAAGCCACAGACCGGCTATTGTAATCTGAACACTCCCTCGATACAACCTGAGCAGAAAAAGAAGCAAGATGAAGATGACTTTAGGGTTCCTATATTTGTTCACTCCAGAATGGGTCAAGATCATACCGACCATAGTAATAGCATGGGTATGGAGAAACTCTCTCCCTTTAGTCCTGCTTACTTGGGTAGTTCAATGAAACTCCAAAATGCAAATGATAAAGAGCCAAAACTGAGTAGCAGTACAGGGCACAAATTGAGACAAGAAGGCAGAAGTGAGAGTGGAGAAAACTCAAATGAGTTTGTGGCTGGTAGGAAGCATGCTGTTAAATCTACCTCAAATATGTCATCCAGGGAAAATGCTGGAGGTTCTCTCAAGCAAACTAATGCATCTTCAAGTTATGAGTGCCATGATTACCCTGCAAATAATTTCAGTAGATTACAGGGGACTGAGGATAGTTTAGGGCTAGAGTGCAGACATGATTCACAGCCTGATAACTCTGTGGAAAAACCTCTTATGGTCCTAGCTAATGGGAATTCTTCCATCTCAATGACTGTTTTTCCATCGGAGAAGCGTAGAAGTCCTAATGAGCCTCTTAATGATATGGAATCTTGTGAAGAGAGGACTTGTAGGTCATTACAGGCCGGAAATGTAGACAGAGATGATGTATCTGAGACTTCTATGGTGGATTCTATGTCAGGACTGGAAATATCCCCTGATGATGTGGTGGAAATGATAGGGCAGAAACACTTTTGGAAAGCCAGGAGAGCAATTGCCAAGTAAGTTGGTTTATACTTGTTAATAGGTTCATAGTGTGTTGGTGACATCAAATTTGAGATTGCATCTTGATTATATCTTCCTTTCAAAACATTCGTTTGACATGGTTGAAAACTTGCATCGTCACATCCCACTTGTCAGTAGTGTTGGAGTATTGAAAATTTAACAATCACATTAAAGCTTATGCTGCTTGCCAAATATTTAACCAGCATTAGAAAATAACAAACGATCTGGTGTGAACAAACTTTGATACCATTTGTTAGTTGTAGTGAAATTATAGTCTCTTTTATGCAATATTTGCAGATGATGATTTCCATGTCACTTGCACTTTATACAGGATATGTAACTCGGAAGTTTTTGAGAGACTGAAAGAAGTCAACATAAGAAACCAAATGTTAATTGAAGAATATATAAGTTCTAGTATGAAAACTTTAGGTATCATGGGTGTGCACAATAGTGCATGTTTGGCAGTGATTTGTGGGTCGTTTCGAAGCACATGCCTTGAACCTAGGGCTGTCAATGGGTCATGTCTTGGTGAAATTTGCTCAATCCATACTCGACCTAGTACATAGCATTTATACTTTGTTTGTATTTACTTGGGTTAGTGTCGTATATAAACCATGTTCACGTCGTGTTTAGTTGGTTTGTGTCGACTCATTTGCTTGGGTCTGGCTGGTCCACCCATCTACCGTTTGAACTCATAGGCTAAATCCAAATTTGATGACTACGTGTCGGTTAAGAATCGGATTCGGGGATCATGTCTAAAAGTGTCTGGCTAATTGAACCTAGGTTTGGCTTCTGTTATAGATGCACCTTCACATGAAGATCCTGTTCTCTTAAGGTTTTTCTTGATTGCCTTGAAGCATAAGGCATCTGCTTTCAAAATGCTGGCATACTCTGCATTGAGATGTTCTGTAGGCTTATTGGGCTCAAGATGTAAATACTGTCATGTCTAATATGGCACATCTTTTTGATTTTCCAGCCACATTCGGTAAGTGATATATTGACAAGCATTTATAGTTGCTTGGCATTGTGCTCCATTGGTAGTAGTATGCTTTATTGCTCTTTTTCCAATAAGCGTCCTAGTGTAGTTGTAATGCAACATTCCTTATTCCTCCCACCATCCAGCTATATATTTGCCTACCTGCATATACCTATATTCAAATCATAATACAGTCCAAGTCCTAGTTCAATGATTTGGGTGGACATTGTGGATCCATTGGAATGGCCATCTGTTAAAAAGATCTTCTACTTCCATTCTCTTGTAGGTTATACTGTGAGTTGCAGTATTAGCTATGATCATATAGAGTTACAGTCCCTAGTGAAGAGTTATAAGAGCAAGACTAAAGAACACTGTTATTTTCTTGTCCATCACATTTGATGCAGATACCTTAATTATCATTGAAGATTTTTTGTTAAGTAGTCTTTGTACACTAGTGCTGTTGTGTACTCTTGTTGCTTCCATTATTGTGTGGTTGTTGGTACTTAGTGAGGAAGAATAACTTTTGTGATCTTGTGAGAAGTCGTGTTGCAGCTATTCAATTTTGTTCTACTCTAAAATCCATTTGTACAAAACCACAACTGGGTAAGCTCAGCTGGGGTTGAAGATTATAGTAAGAGGTACCTGATCTGCTGGCCTGCCACAAACACAAATCCTCAGCACGCAATATAATCCAAAAGTACTCCAAAGACTCTACTAAAGTGCATAAAGAAGGTCGTAATACTCTTGTTGAGTTCCCCAACAACATAGAGCTTGAGAATCTCAGACCCTAGTAATAAAGACAATTAGAGATACAATTGGATATCAGTGATTAATTCATGTTTCCCTCTGGCCACTTTGTCTATATTATGTTCTCTAGACCTATAGTCCATGCTGATTTTATTTTAGAAAGCAATTTATATCTGTTTCTGGGGAGGATTATTGATTGTTGTCCTTGCATATTATGTAGTTCTTTATGCTGTGGCACTTGTGTATGCATTGGGCTTTTGTCCTCTTCGTCTTCTAACAATTGCAACTGGATTTAACTGTTGAAGGCAACATTGAGCATTAATTGTAGGAGTGGAATGTGTGATGTCAAATTGCGCAGAACTGGTTGTGAATTTTGCGTAAGGACTAAGGGAAGATCTCGGTTTGTGGAGACCGATGGTTCCCTTTAGGTTGACTTTTGGGAGAAGAACAATCTTGAACTATGTGGCTGCATATGGTGCAAGGTGAGCTGCCGGACGGTGGATCAGTTTAGTCATCTTCCATTTGGGATACTTTTTGGTTTTCAGTTTCATGATCTATGGTTTTTAATGGACCATGGTTAGGGAAGTTTCTCTCTTTTATGACAGTTGTGTGTTTGATGTAAGGGCAAAAGTGTTGTTGGAGAATATCTTGAATCTCTTATTTTGCTGATCTAGAAAGAGGAAAGTTTGTTGAACATTTGACAGTACAGGATCTGTAAATATGGTGGTTAAGGATATTATCGGTCCTTGTACTTGAAGAATTCTTTGGATCTCTTATTTTGCTGATCTTAGAAAGAGAAAATTTTTTGGTGAATATTTGACACTGCAGGATCAGTAAATATGGTGGTGAAGGACATTCTTGGTCCTTGTACATGTTTGTGGCAATCAGTGAAATGAGATCTTTTTCCCTGGTCCTTTTTCCCATGCTAATAATTTTTGAGTTAGAATTTGATGTAGTGTGAGAAAGTGTGCCTTACATTTAGCTTTGCATGCGATTATATTGCGGGAAAAGGCAGTAGAAATATTTACTAGTGTTTAGTGCTTGCAAAGTATCTAGTGATCTGCATGTCTTCATAGTTTTCCTGTTTCGTTTATTTAAAGTTGTGTTAAACATGTCCAACATAATACTCTCATTTCTTGCATGATTTGTTATCACAAGTCCACTATAAAAGCACTTGCGATGATATGGTCAAAGTAATCCTCCTTTTGAGGTGATACTATGTAGTGCTTTACAGTGCATCATTGCCTAATTGATTGTCTCCTTATACCTACAGTTGGCTACACATTATGAAAAGCATGTTTATGAATGTTATGTTGAATGTGTTTCTGATCCAATCCCTCTTGCTATTCACAGTCAACAACGAGTGTTTGCAGTTCAAGTATTCGAGTTGCATAGGCTGATAAAGGTATGAGGGTCTCTCCTGAGGTTGAATAGCTTCTATCATCACTAAAGTGTTTTGAGTAGCTATGCATTTTTTTTCTCTGACTTTATTTAGTATGCATCACGAAGGGTATGTGTAAAAAAATTTTGTAGTTTTTTTCACCTAAAACAGAGTATTTTACTGTGTTTTCATATTGAAAAAAGAGCGGTTACTGTTTACATTTTATCCATCTAATATTAAACTTATTGAACTTAATATTTGACATTTAAACAGGTCCAAAGATTGATTGCTGGAGCACCACATCTTTTGCTTGAAGAGAATGCTTATCTGGGAAAACCTGTAAGGGGCTCTCCTGCCAAGAAAATTCCACTGGAGTATATTCTTAAAGCTCCAGCAAATACTGCCAAGCACAAAGAGGACTTTGAGAAGCCAAATTATAAGATGGAATGCTCCGCGGAAAATGCTGTTGGGAAGACCTCTCTTTCTTCTGTGCAAAATGGTAGTAAGCCTCCAAACCACAGATCATTTTTGGAAAACCCACCGCTGAACGATACTACTGATGCCAAGAGTCCTTGTTCTTTCCACCAACCACCTGGGCACCAATGGTTGATTCCTGTGATGTCTCCTTCTGAAGGGCTTGTATACAAGCCATATCCTGGTCCTGGATTCATGGGCCCCGGTTGCGGTGGTTGTGGTCCACCAGGATCAACACCCATAATGGGTAACTTCTTGAGTCCTGCTTGTGGGCTTCCCACGTCTCATCACCATTATCAAGGAATGGGAATTCCTCCTTTTGCGTCTACAGCTGGTCATAGCTACCTCTATCCATATGGCATGCCATTCATGAATCCATCGCTATCAGGCTCAAGTGTTGAAAAAATGAACCACTTTACTGGGCCAGTATTGCATGGTCAGTTATCAGGTGCGGGAGCCAACTTCAACTCGCAAAATCAGAGCTCATATAATTTGCCAAGCCAGAAGAATGGAGCTTTTTCAAATGTCGCAAAGTTACATGCACATAAAGATAGCGAATTACAATTCAGTACAGCAAGTAGTCCAAGTGAGAAAGCACAAGGAATGAGGAAAGGTCACACAAGTGAAGGAAGAAACGTGCTTCCTCTGTTTCCCGCGTCTCCAGCTGTTAACATTCCAGATGGACCCCCTCAACTTCACGAGTCTGCTCAGCCAGCCCAAGTAATTAGAGTTGTGCCTCACAATGCAAGATCTGCGAATGAATCTGCTGCTCGGATTTTCCAATCTATTCAAGAAGAGAGAAAACACTTAGACTCCATTTAGTTCCTGTCCTGCGGGACAATTGCTGGCTTGTAAATGACAATGACCTCATCCAGAGTGGTGGTGCTTGGTCATTTTGTGTGTTACTTTTTGACTGTAGCGTCTTGTTTACTAGTTTTGATCTGATTATGGGTGCCAACATATGTAGATATATACTTGAATGCTATTATAAGATTATTTCAGGTGTATTCATGTTGTACTTTCTGGTCTGGTCCTTTTTGAAAATGTAATTCATAGGTAATAACTTATTTACCTAGCAACTAATCTTTCAAAAAAATTAGCAAGACTCTTTAGCCAACTTTAGTTTCTGTGTGTGTGTGTGTTTTTTTTTTTGGTCTTCAAACTGCTCTGGATTTTTCAACCTAATGGCTTCTGTTGCAACTCAATAGGCTTTTCTTGAACTGCACAATAAACAAGACCTCATCACTAATATTTTTTTAGATATATGAATGAATATGCAAATATGTTACTTCACATATTCATCAGAAAATATTGTCTATTAGTAGCACACAACTATCTGCAGGAGATTGTACCACACGTATTTAGTAGTCTTGTGAAACATGAATGTTCTCCACTTGTAATGCTGGAATGCAATCTCGATGCAACTGCTGCTATTTCACTTGTAATGGAGGAAGCCACTGTAAGTATAACTCTCTGATTAATGATTGCAGGTTGCTAATCCGGTCTACGGGTTTCAATTGGGGGAGTCAATTTTATACATTAGCACAAACACTGATACGAACTTGAAAATTACACAACTAATTAATTCATGATAAATAGATGAAATTAGTATAAGACATGATCAATCTGTTTAATTCGTACTGTAAGACCCGACACAAAGCAACGAGGCAACTACAAACAGTTATCTCATTCCCTACAAGTCTTCAAGGACACTGGGGATTTCTACCAGGCCCCCCATAATAGAACTCAGGATCTTCAACATAATCACTAATGTAGTAAACTTCATAACAATCATACTCATCGGAGTAAGCATTAACCCATTCTGGAAACTTCAATCCTGGATAATTTTCGTGTACTCGGATTCTTTTCACATAACCGGAGTTGTCGAAAATGATGTCGGGGTAGTTTCCGTTGCCCATGGCAGTAGCAGTGTGTGGATGAGATTGAGTTCCCACCTTTGAACTGTAAACTTCACCTCCCCACTGAACAGTTTCAGCATGATGTCTTATCATGCTGAATAGGTGAGGAGGCCAATACCCTATGTTCATTTTCTCTCCATACTGTAGCCACCAATTGCTTGTGTCTGGATCCTAAAGATCAAATGTCATTGCATTCAATCAGAGATTATGAGAAAGAAAATTCATTTTATCGTTGTTATATTCAATGCTAGACTAACAAAAATGAGCTTTCCATTCTGGGTACACTCCAATTTAGCATAGCTAGGGTTTCGATCCGAACAATTCGAGCTTGACTTGCTTTGGTTTTAGCTCGTTTAGGTTTATTCAAACTGAAAAGTCTATCAAAATTGATCAAAATTCAAGTTGTGTATGACTCAGTTTAAGTAGATTCAACTCCTTGCTGAACTAGCTTGTGGGGCTGAAGAGGCACCATTTTCATTTGGTTATAACCTGAGCAGTCATCCATAAAAGACATAAGTAGTTTCATAGTCAGTAGTGGCGTTAATCAGAATTTTGGTGTTCGGTACTAGAAAAGCATTTAGTTAACATAGATTCAGACTGTGTACACCAACAATAGTAGGAACCCTTTAGAGCAAGGTACACCAAGGCTTAAATAGGTTCCCTTGTAAATAGTTATAATTTTATTGCCAAAGAAAGATGAACAAATTTGGTTGAAAATTTGATTATTTTAGGCTTAGTTATCAGGTTTTAGGATCGTAACTTTTAAAACTTGGTACCGAGGAATTCAACATTTGCCGAGCCAAGCCAAGCTAAAGCAAGAGTTTATGCTCGACCTTCTAGTTCAGCCATTTGCAACCGTGTCATATCTAAGTGTACTTAGGTTTGACAAGTTTAACTCAATTAACACCTCTAAACTCTGCCTCAGGTTTGATCAGAACCCAAATGCGAATTATAATTATTGCCGCCCTCAGTTAACAATGAAAAAAATTTGATTGAGAGGCTCCATTTTCTGACCTGATAGATGTAAAGAATTATTTGATATGGAAGGCCAGTAGGGAGAGAGATAGGGTAGATTGCAGCACCAAGAGCAATCTCATTGCTGGTTTGAACAAAACCAGGGCAAGTCAGATCAAAGCAACCTGTTGTCATTGAAGCATCTGCCTGACACATCCACAAAATTAAGTCAATAACATTGGACTCGTTTGGTAGACGTGTTATGAGGAGATTAAATATTGAATTGTACTATTTTTTATTTAATCTGCCTAATACTTTATTTGATAAATAAATTTGATATCGTATTAATCATATGTATACTTATCACATATTTTTTATACGTTAGATCTGTATTATAAAGGTATTTTAATACAACCAAAAAATATGGTATTATAATCCAAGTCAAGCATATTATTTTACGCATTTATCGTTATAACCCTCAACTGATAAAATCAAACTGTCATCAATGTAACAAACACTGATTAAAGATTTTTTTATTAATTCAATATTAATATGATAAATAATTTCTTAGTCAAACAACAGGTTGGATTAAATAATTACTATCCAACATTTATATTGTATATTATCAAACACTAAACAAAATTACGTATTATTCTAATACCCTATTTAGTCTTGTCTTTTGTCCTTCTGTATTATATTAGATTAGATTATTTTAATTAATACATCTATTTCTAATATGGCAACCAAACGAACTCATTGTGTATAATAGTACTAGTCAAGCCTGGTTGTGTTGTATTTGTCAAAATTAAGTTGTTTATGTTTAACACTAGCTCATCCCTTTTACCATTCAAGGTAGCATGCCATGTTAATTTTCAGTTGAATTAGTCAATTCTATTTGATAATTTTTTGTCACATTCATGTTCTGCCAAAAATTTAATACTTTTAGTAGTATAAGTCTATGGTACCGAAAACAAATCTCGGTATTGTAGTGACATTCATCACTTTTTTAGGTGTTTTTATCACTTTTATAGTAATTATTTTGATCACTTTTATTGTACTTACGATCGATCTTGAAATCTATATAGTACTACAAAAGTGATAAAAATATTCACAAAAGTGGTAAAAACACACATAAAAGTGATAAATCACAACAAAAGTTGTAACTTTTTTTAATTATAAAATGACCTATAAAAAATTTAAAAACACGCATTAAAATAATAAAATTTAGAAATATGATACCCATTTTTTTTTTTTTTGGGTACCGTGGTCACCCCTTAGTATAGTACTAGTACAATAGTTGCAAACATGCCATGAGCCCCTCATAGTAGAAAGTATATAACAGGGAATATAAAGTTTTTTTGGACAAAGGCAAAATCTTTTAATCATATTTATCTACAGCACGAGTTTGTAAAGATTTACAGCAAAAAACTTACAGTCCAGTATACGAACAATCGAGTCTGCCGGTCACCGTACAAACTTGGATTTACCTGCATGGTTTTTAATCTTCACTTGCTTTACTCGAGAAAATGACTAATAGTAAATAGTAATGGAAGGATTCTCGTGCATTTGATTTTGACCTTTACCAAGTTTAAGCCAGTCAATAGATCGAATTTTAATCCGCATCCTATTAATCGAATATGGATTGATGTTTTTCAATAGATGATCTGAGTCCGAGTCCGAATCCACTATCTCATATTTCAGAGTTAAATTTGGATATACTTATATCCGATCCGCTTATGATCTAATTTGAAATATGCACATATTTTTATATAAATATTGAAAAAATTAAATGATTATTTAAAATTGGATTCAAATTAGTCAAACTTAATATATTCGCAAGTTTAACTAGACTCTACGGTGGCGGAAGCATTGTGTTCTGAGCCATCTTTTTCGAGTGATTCACCTATCAATAAAAGAACAAGAATACTAACATCAAAAATGTTTGTCTTAACTGCCCATCCAGATTCAATTGCCTCATAATCGAAGTGAGGGCCACTTCTGAGACAGATTTGGGAAGTACTGTACTCATCATCTGATTCAACATAAGGATTCCAGACTTTAATATCTCCTTTGGCTCCCAAGTAGCTGAACCCCTCTGTGTGCAATATTGCAACCTATTCACATGACACAAGTCAGACTTCCAAAGATATGTCTGTAAGACTGGGAAATCTCATTACTGAATACATGAAGTATTCAATCTTGTGCATATACTGGTGTTTGTCATATGTTCGAGTCACCAAAACAATCTATTCGCATATAAAGTTAACGCTCTTATCAGGTCGTGTGGGAGTTTCGTGTAATGGGACTCAGTAAAGATTGGATAATTGAGTATACATACCGAGCGGTTCGCTTGTTGAAGGTTTGAAATTTTACTGTCATTGAACTGCTTAGCATGATGTAAGAAAGTAGCCTTTTTCCTCCCATATTTATTGATTGCATTTTCTTTAAGATCATTCTTCTTTGGTAACCTTCTGATGGGGATGGTTCCCTTGGGACAGCTCCCGCTTCTTCGCCATATCTGAGATGTTATAGTAATAGGAGAGTCTTCTTTCCTCTTTGTTGCTGTTGTTGTTGTTGTTTTCATCTCCATTGTTGGATCATAACTAGGTGTCATCTGAACCAAACTCAGAAAAAAAGAGAGTATTTTCTAACTCAGACTGTGTTGTGAAGGAGAAAAACTTTTCTCAACATAAGAATTGCAGACCTGGATGGTGTGATTCCTTAGAGCTGGATGATCGAAAGCTGGCTGATCGGAAATGCCGATGCAGTCAATAATATCCCCATCTTCACTCTGCATAAGCACCAGTATAGCATAAAAGATAAAGAAGTATTGTTAAGTTCTTTACACTTGTTCCAAGTTCGAAGTACCATTTTACAAATAAGAATACCCTCCTATCCAAGATTTCTTGACATAGATAGATATAGGATCTACGATGCAATTAGTTAGAAGTACATTTTGTACGACAGCCCCTTCACTTCACTATAAAGGTGCTGAAATTAGATTCTTTGATTTATAGACCGAGTTTTTGGTTCTTCTATGATTGTGCACATAATCAGGTCCATTTCTAGCTCCTGATTGTGCATGAACACAGTGAATGAGAGTCAAAATATATGACAAATAGAAGAGTGGAAGTTATACCTGAATACTTTTTACTGCACGCATTTTGGGAAGGCTTGTTTTTCTTTCAATTTCCGAAGACTTCCCTCTAGACATTGAGTCACTCTCTGCAACCTCAAGAGTTATATTGATTACAGTAATTTCCAGTACTAAAAGAGCCATCCGTTTGAGCTCCATCTTTGTCAGAAATTGTGAAAGCAAAGTATTTCAAGTTGAAAAAAAAGGCAGTTTTGGGGACTAGAACAGTTTATGACAGGTTTTCTGATAAATGGTGGAACAATTGTTTCTTGATGACAAAGAAGAATTGGAGATTTGGGGCTCATAAGAAGAGCTGAGACCGCACTGCGTTTGCATGATTCACCTTCTAATCATTCGAATGTCATTCACACTTTGAACTTTTGGATTGAAATGGTTTTTTTTTTTTAACCAAAGTGGGACTTTTTTAGGAAGATGTAAGTAAATGAATCCTTAAACATTCAATTACTGATACCTGGTGCTAAAATGATGTCTACCAACTGTTCAATAAGCATGCCTGATTGCTGAGGTGCTTAAGAGTGTTCTTTGAATGTGTTGGCCTATTCCTTACATAAACACTTCCATATGCTTTTCCAGATCCAATGGTTCATTTACTTGGTAACTATACCCTTTCATAAAAATGGGTTTTTTTTTGGAAAGCAGTCTCTTCAAATACAAGTGTAAGTTGACCAAGTCTCGTATCTGTAACAAAATGGGTCCTTGTGCACTGATACAACTTTTTTCAATCAGGGGCGAGATCAGACGATGTGGAATTAGGGTATTAATCAGACTAAGTGTTATTTTCAGGTCGTGTCATGTTCATGTTGTTTTATTTTAGGTTGTGTTATTGTTGTATAATTTTTGTGTTACCTGCGAATTACAAAACCCTGTAAAATCAATACTTCTTTATTTTCTCGGATTTTTTGGATGTGAATATATTTTTTCAGATTTATTTGAGAGAAAGTGTATGAATAAGTATTTTATTCTATTAAGTTTAAGAGCAATGCTATAGGGACTTTATTTGGGAACCTAATTTGAGGACCTAATGATGTGGCTTAAAGGCAATTATTAGATTAATTGTGAGTTCCAATGTTAGATGGAGCCCACAACTAATCAAATGGTTGTATTGAATTAGGTCCCAAAATTAAGTCCAAATAGTATTTTCCTAAGTTTAATTTTAATAAAATTTCTTATGATTAGGTACAAAATTCAAATGACATTTGAAATTTTTTACTTACTTACCTTTCCTTAAATTATACATAATTTATATTATCTCCATCTCTCTCCCCCTATTTCTCTAAATCTTTTTTTCTCTCTCTCTCCATTACTCTCTCACTATCTCTCCCCTATTTTTTCTCCATCTTGCACCCCCTGTTATTCTCCCCTATTTTCTTTCTCTATCTACCATTGATAACTTATTTTCTTTTCCAATATGTAAATATTTGATTTATTTTTTGATTTGGTTTTTTCTCTCTTTTCTCTCTCTTTTTCTCTCACTCTTTCTCTCTCTTTATATCAATATTACAACAATATAATTAAATTAATCAATTACAATTGTCCTTTAATACACTAAACAGTTACTCATGCATTCTAATAAATCAAACAGTTACACCAAATAGTTACACAAAAAGTATGACACCAATCCAATTTATCATTCAATTATTTACATAAAATTAAATAAATGCCACATTTACTATCGCGATATCGTTATACCAATTATATATACCAAATTTAGTATAATAGTAAGGTCTTTTGTGTAATAATAAACTAAATTTGTTGTATATAATTAGTGTAATCTTATCGTGATACTAAATGGTATAACTCTTAAAATTTATGTAAATAATTGAATAACAAATTGGGTTGATGTTGTAATTTCGTACAATTTTTTAGTGTAACTGTTTGGTTTATTATAACACATGTGTATTATAAGGTCATTATAACTAATTGGTGTAATTGATTCATGTAATTGTGTTGTTATAATGTTGATATAAGGAGAAAGAGAATAAGGAAGTAAGGGGAGAGAGAGAGAGAGAGAGAGAGATAGGGGACAAAGAGATTAAAAAATTAAATCAAATTTTTATATATTTAAAAAAAATATTGTTAATGCGAGAGAACGAGAGAGATAGATAGATAGAGAGAAAAAAATAGAGTAAGAGTAATGCGAAGGGGAGAGGAGAGAGTAATGAACTAATAAATGGTCTTTTAGTCATTTTTTTCAAAAAAATGCACTTAAGGCCAAATAAGTTTTAATGTAATTTAATTCAAATAAATCTAAATTTTTGTACCAACCTCCAAATTATCCTATTTTTTTTAGGGTGTACCAATGAGCCAGACCAAATTAGTGTTAGGAAAGCCCATTCCGTAAAATTTTCAGGCTGGGATGACATGAAACGGACCGGGCTCGTATGACACCAAGTCCATCCCGTGAAGTTCTCGGGCCGGGCCCGAAGTAAAGGGGGTTTTGTGAAATAAGCTAGCTCTTGGCTCATTGGAGTTGAGTGAAATCAAGTGTAGAGTGAAATCAAAGCCAGAAGCTTAACCACAGTGCAGCAAAGAGTGTGGACTGTGGAGCCCTGACATCAGAGAGAGAAGAGGGAGGCATTGGTTTGAAGCTGAGAGGAAATGGTGAACTACTTGTTGATGATCACCGCGGAGCTGGAGAATCTTACCGACCTTCAGCCCCAAGGTGGCTGTGATGATCCAAACTTCAACTACTTCTTCAAGGTCTGTTTGAATATTCTACGAATTTATACACTTTCATTTATACAAGACATGTTTTTCTTTTACTTCGAATCTAATTGGTTGTTATCATTTTAATTTGGCGTTTTACCTCTGTTTTGATCTATATGTGTTGTTTGTGTACATTTAGGGGTTATTTTTGCCCATTCAGTTTGGTAATTTCTGATCCTGTCTTAGTTTGCATCAGTTGAATCTGCTCACTTCTTCAATTATTTTCTTATTTCTTGTAAAATTTTGATGATTATCGCTGTCTCTCTTTAATGTCTCATTTAATGCGTGTGTAAGTTTTGGATTCTGTACGAGTAAAGGAGTTCAATCTATTATTCTTTACTCTATTTCTCCAAATATAACGAATTTATATTATTAGTTTTATTTTTTTTAGTATTAGTGTTCTAAAGCATAGGTTCTCATATATAGGATTCCTGTGTCCGTCATAGTTGGAATTGGTGAATCTACTCCGGTTCTTCCATATGTTTTATCTTCTTCTTTTTATTTGGGTAAATAAATGATCTTTTCTTCTTTGACAGGCTGTAATTGTTTTTTCTTGTTCTTGATTTTATCCTTTTGTTTTTTCCATGACATGCTCACAGTCAATTCGACATGTATATTGATAAAGCTGTGCGAATATTCTTGTAAGGCTTTTAGTTTTATTGGTTTAGAGTTGCATCTACTTTTGGGCTTCATTCAGTTTATCCTTTCATTTTAAATGAATTTGACAATAATTTCCAGTTTGGTTAAAGTCTTTATATGTTTGTTGGGCATCATGGTTATCCTTTTATCATGGTGGTTAGATCTACTCTTGTTCTTCCATCTGTTACATGTTACTTTGATTGTAAGTTCTGTTGGTGTTATGTATTGGTATCTATTTGTTGGTTGTGACGGATACATCGAAGTGTAAGGTTTCTAATTTCTTTTTGGTGCATATTAGTTGGGGATTTGTAAGCGTTTCTGATTTTATGTAGGTTCACGCCAGATGAATCACTCTTGTTCAGTCTAGTTTTTATTTCACTTCGAGTAAATTGCTTGTCTTTTATAAAATTGTTTCTTTTTTTTGAATTATTTACTTATTTATTTGGTTTTTATAGTTGAAATGTGGAAATTGTGGAGAGGTTACCCAGAAAGAGACTTGGGTGATGTTAAATGAAACAGTTCCTCTACCGAAGGGCAAGGGTACAACTAATCTTGTCCAAAAGGTGAAATACCATCATGCTGTCTATTTTCACATATGCATACCTGTGTTTGCCATTAAAACATGCTTTTATATCTAGGGTTTAAATTTACAATCTAATTTGCAAGTCAGGAATTCACTAAGGAGGGTTTACAAAGTAAGGGCATGCGGTAAATAACAATGGGTTCTATAGGATTAAATTTCAAGGGAGCTGTGAGTTTGCATTAAATTATCCAATCATTTTGATGTATCGGAAAAATTGGTCCTTAATTGCTCTATTTTGGTTTATTCTTTGTGCCACTTTCTTGTTTGCTTATATGTTGTTTCCTTTGTTTGTGTGTCAGTGTAAGCTCTGTGGGAGGGAGGGAACTGTGACTATGATCAAGGGCCAAGGCCATCCCCTGACTCAGACACATGGTCAAACAGAGAAGTATGCCCCTCTGATGTTGTTTGACTGCAGAGGTTATGAGCCTGTGGATTTTGTGTTTCGCGAAGGTTGGAAAGCGGAATCTGTAAGTTTTTGGTTGCTTTGTACTGTTGCCTTTGTTGCATTGTAGCATTGTTCAGTTGAAAATGTGAGAATATTAAGTTACTGATTCTCACTGAGCCTTTAATTGCTTGGCTGCACTTCTTTCTTACACATACTGGTAATACTACAGTTATCATAACATTATTATTGTTGCAACATTAGATACTTTACCTTTTTGATTTCCTAATCCGTATGTAGTTTTTATTTGGATTCCATCACAGTTTGCTCGATAGTGTTGGCACGAGTTAGAGAACAATTTTTTTTAATATTATGATTTGCTGAGAGTTTTCTTGTTGAATAAGTATAAAATGGGTTGGCATATGTTTGCAGTTCATAACAGGATCGAGTTTGTTTAGTGTGAACTGTGAATACTGTGAAGGGGAGTGCATGTGAATTTCTAAAACTTCCTTATCTATTTTACTTATTGGTTCATCTGATGAATCATCAAAGTCTATCCAGAAGTTGAAAATTATCAACTCTGTTAAATAATCATAGCTCTATTAGAGAGGGTGTAATTTAAGTATTTATACTTAAAAACATATCGCTTTACGTGCAAGGCTAGAATTTGGGCCTATTACGTGCAATTGTTTTAAGAATTAGGGTGGAATTGAAATTCGAACATAAGACCTTTACCATATTAAAAAACTATCTACTCAAAAAAATTAAGTTATTAGAGAGGGTATAACTTAAATATTTATACTCTAACAAACTTATTAATTGAAACACTTGTCATTGATTGGGCAATTTAGGACGTGACCAGTTTTAAAGTTAAACGAAAATGTGTTTATTTACTAGTTGGGAGAGAGAGAGAGAGAGAGACGTTGATGATTAAAGTTTCACTTAAACATAATTATGTTACTTTTAAGGGATCAGTGCATGGTGTAATGGTAGAAGTGTCGAGTTAACAACCAGCAGGTTGTGAATGGAAGGCAGGCACTTTGTGTGACAAATGTTAATGGTTAGGTCTATATCCAATCCATTTTTCCCAACACTCTAGATCAACATTGCAAGAAACTAGATGTTGATCTTTTTTACATGGCACTAATCTTACCTCATTGGCATTTTTTCCCCTTTCTAAGACTTTTGTGTAGTTGGTATGTTTGGAGCATAAGTGTTGTCACGTCAAGAACATTGGACTTGTATAAAATGTGGTTTTATCGGTGGATTATTGGATTAATTGTAGGTATGCATATGAACACTAACAATGGTTAGCCTTAGGTTTTGGAAGGCTACAAAATGTGCTTACATTTTAGATACAGAATTAAGAGTCTGTCACGTCATGTTTGTAGGGATAGAGCCAAGAATTTTTTGTTAGGGTGGCCAAATAGTAGTCTACCCAGAAATTTTTGTTTGATGAATAGAGTCAATTTTTTTTGTATTTATTTTTAATAAAACCGAGAAAATGACTTCAATTTTTGGTGTAATTAATTACATGTGAAAATTTTCAAATTAATTCATCAAATAATCTGGAATTTGTGAATTTTGTCACACAATCACTCAGCAACAGCTGAGTTTCATCATGTTTCTGTACGAAAAGTCAGAGAAAATGAGACAAAAGGTAAAGAGAACACTCAAATACATATTTTATAAGACATTACACCCCATATTCTGTAGGTTTTGGACAAATTACCCTCAACTATCAGTTTGAATACACAACACTACTAACCATCTTGATTTGTGATATTTTGTACTAACTGTTATTATTTTTGTTTTTTTGGTTAACTCTCGACGGTACAAGGGCATAATTTTATTGATTTGGATAAGTATAATCTAAGTGACTATTTTGAATGGTTCATGGTAGACTCTGTTTAAACTAATAGCTGAGAGATAAACAAACTTCAAGATCGTAATTTAAAGGTATAAAGAATATTTTTAAAAGTTTGAGAAGGCCATGTGAAATATAATCAAAAGCAATGTTAAGAAGTACAAAGGGTAGTTTTAAAAACTTGAGGCAGGTTATAACTGTGCTCCGTCATTGCATGTATGTTTTCTTTCTGCAAAAAGATGGGCCTAGGTAGAAAGTCATCTAGGTGGATAAAGCTCCTTATCTGATTACTCATTAGTTGTAAACACCATTGATGTTGATTTTACAAATTGATAGATTTGAGCAGTTCAGCAAATCCTTTCTGAACATTTTGACCTTTGTTTATCAAGTGCATTACAATTCTATCCCTCCTCTTCTCTTTCTTTCTGTCCTTCAACAACCCTTCCCCCCAACCCAAAAAAAAAAGGTGTTGTTAAATCAAAGGAATGGCACTAGTGTTCATGCATAAAAGCTTATTGAAGGCTCTTTTTCCCTGGTTGTCTCGTTAATTGCCTCTAAATTATGTTTTGAGAGAAGTGAAATTGAAACCCCATTTTTTTAGTGGTCAGAAATTGAAGCCCCATTACAACACATATTCATATTGAATTCAGATAGACGGTATAGTCAATGAGTGTCTCATTGGAGATGTTCATACAATTACTGTGTATCTAAACTAATGCTCTAGGCTGTCAATTTGGTACATCAGGTCTATTTTTTGTACTCCTTAATGTTTTACCAGCATGTTTAGCCATGACAACATACTACTCAAAATGGTGTCTGAGAACATGAAAATTATGTGCTTCTTACTGCTTATTGTGGTGCGAAAAAGAGGAAAAACTTGAGGAAGTCAAGGGGCTATTAAAACCGCAAGATGTATTTGTCTTCCAAATATTTTTGACCACCAAGGCTCACATCACAGTGATATCCCTCTTTCAAATTCTTGTCATTCGTCTTTATGGGAATCCATGCGTGCTAGCTTATGCTTCATTCATCTTGTGTAGATTGCAGGAACAAAATTTGACGGCATTGACTTATCGGGAAACGAATACGCTGAATATGATGAGAAGGGAGAGTGCCCAGTCATGATTTCCAATCTCCGTGCCACTTTCAATGTAGCGAAGTAGTGTTATTCTGGTTACATCTAACTGGTATATAATAGGGGAACTGGGCAGACTTATTAGTTCTTGCAATCAATGTTAAAAAGATTGATTGCATTATGTTGCGGTTGGAAAAATTTCTTGCAGCATGTTAAACTGTAATTATTTTGTCTTGATATTAGTAATGACTTTTAGCCAGACTTAAAATGCTTTTCATGGACTATTTTGTGACAATTTAAGGATCTTCTACTGTATTGAAATCAATTATTTGGTATAGTATCAAAAATTATGATCCAATGTATTGAACATATGGTGCAGTTAGAATCTTTCAAATCATGATTGAGCCTATGTTCAAATCAAACCCACTCCGCCAAGTACGATAAAGGCATGCTTTCTCCCACCTTTGAAGGAAAGGCTCCACAAAGGAAGCTTCATTGGAAAGGGATAAGACTGATGCATTTGCTTGGTTGGCTGTTGGCGAGCTCAGCCCTTTAAGCTCTAGTGGAGTTAACATGGCCGAGTCAAATCACAAGATGAGACGTGATGGACAATCAGGGCTGAATTGAGCCACCATTTGGGTGGGCAATGACTTGGTGCACATTCATCAATTCATGAAATCATTCTAGTTCAGTAACCTCCTCAAAATAGCTCGTCGACCACGCTTTGCATACGACTCAAACAGAACAGAAGAGTTCGTTCAATCTATAGGGGCGCTAGCATGCTACAACTTGCGGAAAAGGCTAGTGTGCATCTTGAATCACTTGGTTCTGTATTTTGTACTCGCAAAAGAGTTAAGATTGATCCAAAGAATTTGGGATTGATCTCAGCTTTTTGGATATTATTGAGTCCTGACTTTAATTTTATTGAATCATAACTTGATCTTATTAAATTGTAACGAGGCCTAAAATTTTGAAATAAGGTAGGTTTTTCCAAAACTTTATGGTGTATGCTGGGATCGAACGATTCATGGAGAGGACGAGTCTATACATAATGCAGCAAATATCCTGGTGCTTGAGAAGGTTGAACTTGGAGAATAGGAAAAGATTTCGACGTTGTGGGTCAAAAACAACTTTGCATTCATTTCTTCGTCCCGGATGGAGTGAATGACAATTATTTGGGAGTTGGTCATCATTAACTTCCGCTGCAGGGCTGCAAGTTAGTCAGCTGTTGGGCCCAGAGGTGCCGTTTTTCTCTCCAAAGTTTTTTGCTTTTTAGTTTAATAGTAACGGGTATTCGAATCGATTTACATATATTTTAATTAAATTTTTTTTATTTAGTCAAAAATAAATTATTTACTCTGAAATTAAGGTATTAATGAAAAATAAATATTTTCATCAGGTGTTAATTATTGATTGAAATTTTGTTAATTAAGAAAATCAAAACTCTGCAAAAAAAAAAAAAAAAATAGGGAGGGAAGGAATAGATTGAGTTTTAGCAATAATTTTGATTGTTTTATAAGATAGTAAGACACGTCATGCGTAAAAAAATATTATTTTATTATTTTTGTAATCAATAGTTGTATGTCGTTTAAATTAAAATCAAGAATTTGAGTTTATTTTTTTATTGATATATTCGTGTTACCGTTGTCTTTTCTTTTTTATTGGGTTCAAATATTATATTTTTCGGAATCATACTTTGTTTTTTAATTTTTCTTATGAGAATTCAACACATAAAATTCGATTAGTATGGTATAAAAACATCTTCCCCATACCATTAGCATTATTATTTTATTTTATTTAGTGGGCAGTTTTGGTTTTGAAATCTTTGTCCACGTAGCTGTTTTTTTTTATAGGCCTGTCTGTTGCGCGAACCAGTCAAATTATTGCCGTGCAAGTATTAAAAACGAGGGTTATTAAAATTAATTTTAGTACATTCGTCTTTTGAATAATAACACTTGCATTTGAGATTGAGCATAGTATTATTAAAAAATTATAGATTAGCATGTTTTAATAGTATCATTCCCCCCCCCCCCCCTCTCTCTCATCCTTATGTCAATTTTTCTTCATTTATATATACCTGTCTAATTAGAAAATTCTTAGTTTACATGCAAGATTATTGACAACTTGAGACATTGAATGTAAACTTAATTTGCTAGTTGAACTCAAATATTCCTTCTTTTTTTTTTTCAATGGTCATGAGTGTCCGGGTTAATTTACGCATATCTCGATTAATTTATTTCCTGATCTGGTCAAAGACAAATTATCTACACAAAAACTAAGTTATTCATGAGGGATAAATCCTTCATAACTTGACCATAAAAGATTGCAAGGATTTAAAATCAAAATGTCTGAATTAACAGCTCAAATATCTTTAACAATAATGTTATTTGTATTTAATTTGTTGATATAATTTATTTATTTAATTCATAACAATTATGAGATAAATTGTGAATCCTACTGAATATTGATGGTCAATGTCAATGAATTAGGTCACTAAGTAGGAATGAGATGTGCATTTCTAACTAGGAACACAAAGTAAAAATATTAAAGTCTAATTTCTAAATTTTTTTTTTTTGTTGGGTTTTTGTGTGGGGTAGGTTCTAAAGGATACACAGTGGACGAAAACAATATCTTATGCATCAATAATCATAGCATTGATAACCATCATAATGTATTACCAACCAATTGCAATCATTCATAGGAAGTGCACTTGTCCCAACTTAACCATCATAATGTATTACCTGCCAATTGCAATCATTCATAGGAAGTGCACTTGTCCCAACTTTTTTTTTTCCCCCAAAAAGCACTTGCAATTCAATTAACTAGCAACCCAAATAAATCTTAATGTCTATGGCCACAATTGACTACAGCACCAAAAAAAAAAAAAATAGTATCGTATCACTTATTATTGTTTAGAATATATTTATCATTTTTTTTGGGTGTAATTTACTAATTTTTTTTTGGTGTAATTTACTAATTTTTTTTAGGTAAAAGTTATTACTTTTTGAATAAAATTTAAGATAAATTTCATCCCCATCCCTCGTAGATATGCCTAATTTGCGGCAACACCCCTTCTGACTTTAAAATTTCACTTCACTATCTTATAGTTCTTATGTTTATTTTAATTAAACAATTAAAACCCTTGTCGGGACTAATCTACAATTCATCACATAAAAAACAATGTTTTTTTACCTAATTTTTTGTTGATTTAAAATGTGTGAGAGAGAGATTACCACTGCACACAGTTACCACCTCACACCTGCACAATCACTCCCATCACAATGCACCACCCAACCATGCACACCACTTTCATTGCACCTTCGTCTCTACCGAAACCTAACATTGCACAACACCGCCATTGCGGCACCACCACATACCACTGAAAGCAAATACACAGCATTCACACATACAATAACCTTCACCTTCATTCACATGCCAATCAAATCCATAATTCACGAAGTCACCCAAATAACGATTCAAGAGATAGCTACTCCACATCAGTCCCACCCCATTTATACATTGTTGTGAGACAGAGAGAGAGTTGTTTTCCCACACATCGCCACCCCTAAACTATTTGTAACCAAACTTCATCAACCTCCACATACCACCCACCCTATGCAACCTCCACTCAGCACCACACCCATGCCTAATATGTCCCAAACCTATTTGATATCAACCACTCCCCCAACGTGCACGCACACGTATTGTCGACTATCAACTCTCACATGTCCATCACGACCAATCCACCACCATTGCCTCTGCATCAACACCCACCACAAAACCCCCTAATCAATTTGATCTTTTTTGCACCTATCTCATTTTTCTCTATCTCTCCCTATGCCAAAGCGTTATAAGGGTGAATTTTATGGGTCTACGTCTGGGAGGGGATTGCTGGAGAGAGAGAGAGAGAGAGGTGGTTAGGTGACATTGGGAGAGGCAAACGGTGGCGGAGGAGATGGGTTGGGGGAGGGGTCTCTGTTTCTTTCGCGCGCGCACACACACACATATATATATCAATTTATTATATAAAATGACTAGGATAAAATTCAAACATACTCCTGTTTTATTATATAAATATAAAACTTAAGGAGAAAGTGATAAAAGAAGCATTTACGTCTAGTTGGTTACTCATCCGAGACTGTTAAGGGGTATGAGTGAAATTTAAAAATTGAGAAGAGATGTCGCTAAAATTATGCATATCTACCAGGGGTATAAATAAAATTTACCCTAAAATTTATTATTTTTTGTGACTTTTTTGGTAGCATAGTGTTTCCCCTGTGCCCACACTTAGAAACCAAGACAAAAGAATTTAGTGGTGAAGGCCATGCACCCTGCTGCAGCGATGAACAAATCAATGTGTATTTGTAAAACAAGTGTTTATGTTAAAAAGTAATGAATTACAACTACACTTTCATACAAGCAATGACAGAGAATAATACATTAAAAAAAAGTTAAAATTATAAAGAACAAAAATAAATATAGCGATAGAATTGTGGTAAACACTTTGATAACACAAGAAAAAATTTTAGTTACACTCTTTTTAATTTATCATATTTTGAAGGATATCTCCACTGTTATTCAAAATATTATTGACACTCACTGCCGTTAAATCGTCATTTTGAACAAAAAAAATTATTTAAAATGTCAAAATTACCCCTATATAAATTCCAAACAATTTTTTTATATAAAATTTTATTAAAATTCGAGCCGATTAAAATTTATTTTTAATATATTAAAATTTGAACTAATTAAAATTTATTTTTTTATATTAAATTTTGAGAAGATTAAAATTTGATTAGAGCTTACTATATTTTATTTTTTTTATGTATTAAAATTTGAGCCCAACTTAAGTTGCTGGCATCGATTAAAATTCAATTTGAGTCGATTAAAAATTATATATTTTTACTTATTAAAATTCATGTCAATTAAAATTTGATTCAAATTGATTAAAATTCGTTTTTTCACGTATTAAAATTTAAGTTGATTAAAAATTATCTTTTTACTTATCAAAATTCGGGCCAATTAAAAATGAATTTTAATAGACCCAAATTAAATACATAAAAAAAAATCATAAAACAAAAAGGGTCTCATTAAAGATATGTCTATCTAGAGGGGATGTGAATAAAATTTTTCCTAAAATATATTAAAATTATATTGGGTAAACTTCATCCACACTCCCTATAATTATGCATATATTTAGTGACACCCCCTGCATCTTCTAAAATTTCGCTACACCCCCTTCTAGATTATACTATAGAATCACTTACACCCTTTTCTGTTAATACCCGTCTCAGACAAACAAAAAGTTAAAAGATTTGACTTGATATTCTTTTAAAATATCAAAATTACCTTTTACTTTACAAATAGACTAAAATGCTCATAACCTACATGAACTCAAATCAAATGAAATAAAACTTGAATTCGGCAAAGCCTGTAAGGTTGGGGCGTATAAGCCTCTGCCAGGTAAAAGAACTACGGGTTATGAGTATTGGCTTTTATGTGTCGATGGGTCTTATTGGTGCATGATTTTATGGAAATTTTCATATATATATATATATATATATATATATATATATTAGTTATTATCTATACCTGAAGGCACATAGTAATAAAAAGTAGTAAATAATAAACATATTAATATTCATATCTAAAATTAAATCACAAATATAAAGAAGAGATAAAAAAATTAAAACATTAGTTTGTAATAAGGGTGAGAGGTGGTGGGCGGTAATCGTGGTGGAAAAAGACGGTGATGATTGTGGTGGGTGACAATAACCGTCGTGGCAGCGAGGGCGGCAGTGATGGTGGTGGTAGTGGCAGCGACGGTGATAGTGATGATAGTGGCAGCGACAACGATGGTGATAACAGTAGTGGTGATGGTGGTGGCGGTGGTTGTGATGGCGACGACGACAGTTACGACAGCGACAATGGCGGTGATGGTGGCTGTGGAGGTCGTGAGAGCAGTGGTGGTAGAGGTGGTGTGAGGTTTCAAACATTATTTTTTAAAAAAAAATATTTATGAGAAATAATTTTTAGAAATATTTTTAAAAAGTTACTTCAAACACACTCTTAGAGACCTATTTTTTCTATTAAATTTAGGGTGTTAAAATTAACTGTTAGATTAACTTTAAAGTAAAATTTAAAGAGATTTCAACCGCGAATAACAAAAATTATTTTATTTATTTTTTAAAATTTGAATTATAAACTACTTTATTATATAGATATATATATATATACTTAATTCACTAATTTTTGGTGTAATGCACAGCTATTTTTATTTTTATTTTTTGACTTAATGCACTGGTGTTCATCTAGAATTCAGATGAGAAATACCTACTTTTAGTATAAATTTTTAATTTTACAAATTTATGAAATTGTTAAAGTTATAGTTGATGGGAGTAGGTTTGCATGGTGCTACATCTTCCTCTAAGAACTAGGAAATTTCGTAACTAAGTGGTTATTTCAACTTGTGGTAAATCATATATATATATACACATAGATATATTTAGAAAGATTTACAAAGATTATAATATTTTTGGACGTCAATGGATTATATTCTATTCTATACATTATATTAGAAAACAAAAAAAAGTGCAAGAGCATGGGAGGCTTTTCCTCTCTATTTCTTAATTTCTTAGAATTTTAAAATTTTTAATTAAAAATCAAAATTCTTCCAATTATATACAAACATGCATGTGTCACTTATAATTACTTATCTCCTCCTCCACTAACTATGCACCATTTATTACTCCACTAACTACCCACTATTTTTAAATTTATTTTGGAACTATTTTTACTTCTCAATGTCTTTTCATCATTAAATCTCATATTCTCAAGCAATAAGGATAAACGAAGATTGATTGTATAGAAAGATTGAACTAAGCTTAGTGTAAGAATAATTGATTACGCATAATAATAGGACTATACATATATTATATATTAATATATTTTGTACTAGCGCATTGCACTGATTTTATTTTATTTTTGTCATTTTTTTTAATTTTACTTATGAAGATAGATAAAAATGATACTAAATTCTTTAATAAAATATAAATTTTAAAAAATAGCGAGGAGTTGAGAGATGATCACAAAAAGACACATGGTAGCGTATGATTGAAAGAAGACTAAGTATGACAATTAAAAAAAAATTAAAACTCAAGAAAATTAAAAAAAAAATGTGGAAAAAGATTTCTTAAGTTTTCTCTCCCCTAATTTGTGTGTGTGTGTGTGTTTATTTATTATATAATATATTTTTTGGTATAATACGATAAATGTATAATTATATATTATATAATAAGAAATTATATATTGTATAATATATTTACTATATATATAGTGGATAGTATGAGATATACACTTCTATGTGTAATGGATAATATATGAGATTGTTAGGGTTAATATAGTAAAATAGATGTTCTGTTACCTCCTTCAGCCGACAAACTCTACAGGGGTGTTAATGAAATTTCTGATAATACAGGGGTATGCTTGAAGATAAGATATTCCTATAGCGGGTGTGGATGAATGGTGTCAGCGAAGATTTAAAAAATAGAGAGCTGTCTTTAAAAATACTATAAATTAAAAGTGTTATTGCTTAAATATTTTTAAATAAAAAAAATTCTCCAAAAAATAATATAAATAACCAAAAAAATGACAGTTTTTTTTTTTTTTTTGGAGTATAATTTTCAAACCCTAGAATTGTAAACAAAATTAGTCCGTCCCTGCAAAAATACCGAGTTACCTGGCAAACCGAACCAGAAACATTCTTGAAAAACACGCTTGCCCACATTCCCTCAGATCTCTTCTAAGATTTCTCACCCCTTCCTCGTTTTTTATCCCATTCTCTGTCTTCCCCCACTCTGTGGGACTCTTTTGCTTCTCCATTTCTCTCGATATTTGCCATCTACTGCCTTTTCTCCTTTGCCTAACTTCCTCTTTTGTCTTTTTTTGACTCTCGATCAAAGTGACCATCACTCTCATTAGCACAATCTGGCGCAATTCAAGCACTCACAACTGAATTGAAGGATCCACCATTCAAGTTTCACCTTCTCATCAAATTCATGGTATGTTAACAGTCCCTTACTACCACACAACAATTACTCTCTCTGATCCAAAATCTTCGTATCCTGTATTGAATACATGGCAAGTGCTTTTTCACCTCTTTTCCATGTTCTGTGATCTCAACTTTATGAGTACGTTTTAGAGAACTTGCTAGGTGGTACCTAATTTCCCTTCAATTCCCCAATAGTTTGTTCTGAGAAGGTTTAAATCTTGGATTATGTTGAGTTATCGAAGTACCCATATGGAAAATTTGAAGCTCCTTTTACTGGTTTGGCTCTAAGATGCAATTCATGCTCTGGGTTTAACCGTTGTGAGAGAAAAGTTGACAATTGGAGAGGTTTTCAGGATTGTGTTTGATGCGAGAAGGGTTTTATTGGATTTGGTGTACCGGAAAATAACAACCCAGAAGGCGAAATTCGAGATAGTTTTCTTGTCAACATAGAGTCGACGGCTGTCCAATGGATGAAGGCAAAGATCAGACAGTTAGGACAAACCAACATAGAGCTTTGCCTCAAAGGCTGCTTCAATTACTTGTTCTGTTTCTAGTTTTGTGTTTTGCCTTTTCTGTGGTTAGCGTATACTTGATTCGGCACTTTGGAGTTCAAAATGAAGTTGCCACAGTAAGGCCCAATTTACAGCCGTGTATTGAAGAACTGAATAGTTTAGACCGTTGGATTAGACCTCCATCCAATTTACTTCACTCAATGAATGACAAAGAGCTCCTTTGGAGAGCATCTCTTGTACCGCGAATAAAGAAGTATCCGTTCACAAGAGTTCCGAAGATTGCATTCATGTTTTTGACCAAGGGGCCATTGCCATTGGCACCTCTTTGGGAGAGGTTTTTCAAGGGGCATGAGGGGCTTTATTCGATATATACTCATTCGCTGCCATCGTTTCAAGCCGATTTCCCATCTACGTCAGTTTTTCACAGGCGGCAAATACCAAGTCAGGTATGTTTACATTCGTGCAAGCTGTTGTGATACAATTTTTCCCCTTGGTTCTATGTTCCGGCATATGATGATCTGGTTTTATTCGTTTTTGACATTTAAGTGATTGATGAAATCCTAATCTTATTGTCCCTTGCATGTTGAGCCATGACGCCAATGACGCATTACCCTAAAATGGGTATTAGACTGCTTCAATTCTTTCTTGGTTATTGATGTTTTCATTTTCCGGGATATTCCTGTCATGCCTCTATATAGCACAACCTTCTTTCATCAAAGACCATATGGTTGATATAATTCTTTTCCCCTAGTTTTTTCTACACATCTATAGATTCTAGCTTCAAATAAATTCATTTTAGCTTCAAATGTGATTTCACATCGGAGTTGTTTTTAGCTTAGAAATGTCTTACATTGCACTGTTAATCCTCCCCCCCCCCCACTCTCTCTCTTTCTCTGTGCGTGTATATATGCGCAACCATGAGCACTTGATCATGTGCGTATACGTGCATTTATCTTGATGAAAATCAACTTCTTTTGTGGGGTTGCTCCTTGATTACTAGAATGTAGGAACATCCTAGAATTAGCAGAATAAGAGCTATTTTTGGTTTTGCTGCACGAGACCACAGTGGTAGTTTCAGAATTGAATTCATGTATATCATTTGTCAGGGGCATTCGACATGATCATTAAAGGATATTTGATGCAATTGATATTTCCATTGACCTAAAATTTAATGGTGTCTTGTACATTGCTGATGTATTTGCTTCATATTTAACCATTCCTCGTGGGGGAAGTGGTAATAGCAATCATTTTCTTGGGTTATTCTTTACCACTGTGCATGACAATGTTCCCTCAATTGAAGGGTGTGTCCTTGACTCCTTATTTGTTGATGGGCGTATTCTGATTAAGACTAAATCTGAGTTAGGTTTTTACCCACTCCTTTAAGCTACTTCAACAAGGAGCTGATGATAACCCTGTACTTTGATCTTATATTCTTATGGTTAGGCAGCTAGATAGATACTGCTAGTTTATGAGTCCTGCTTTCTAAAAAGTAATGGTATCCTTTTGTCTGTTGATTAAGTTGTTTGAGACATAGTATACAGAAAGAGATTCACACTTCATGAAAAGTAGATGACACTGTTTGTGATAGTCCAGCTGCAACTGGAATTCTGGTTTTCGAGAGTAAATTGGTGGCTGGAATAAGTATTGACCAAAGCATTGCGGGCAATAGCTACAAAGTGAGTAAGTTACTAACCAGAGTTATGTAAATATCTTGAAGGTGAATAAATTTTTTCCATCTGGTTTTGACCATAGTAGGTTAGAAGCTGATATTTAAATCTTTGCTATTATAGCATTTGTAAGACGTGGGAATATGTGTTTACATGATATCGATCTTTGTATTTCTTCCTGTAATACTTGATGGTGGTTCGGTGTAAGTTTTGAATTTCTCTAATACATTAATGATTTCTTTTTTATTGTGATACATATCTTTTGGCATTTCGAAACAAGTATTTACATTTTGTCCAGGATTTTGTGGATTTAATGATGATTTTTGTTTTGTTTTGTTTTTCTCTTCTGCAGGTGTCAGAATGGGGGAAGATGAGCATGTGTGATGCTGAGAGAAGGCTTGTTGCTAATGCTTTGCTCGATATCTCCAATGAATGGTTTGTTCTCCTGTCTGAATCTTGTATTCCCCTCTACAATTTTAGTGTCATCTATTCCTACATAAAGAAATCGAAATATAGCTTCATTGGTGTGTTCGATGACCCTGGGCCACATGGGAGAGGCCGCTATAATGAGTACATGTTACCTGAAGTGAACATTACCCAGTGGCGTAAAGGATCGCAATGGTTTGAAATTAACCGAAAGCTCGCATTTTACATAGTGGAAGACACAACCTTTTATCCCAAGTTTGCTGAGTTTTGTAAGCCAGCATGTTACGTGGACGAGCATTATTTCCCCACCATGCTAACGATTCAAGCTGCTAATCTCATAGCAAATCGAAGTATCACTTGGGTGGACTGGTCGAGGGGTGGAGCTCATCCAGCTACGTTTGGAAGAGCTGATATCACAGAGGAATTCATGAAGCGAATCCTTCAAGCTCATAGCTGCACTTACAATGACCAGAACTCCTCAGTTTGTTTTCTTTTCGCGAGGAAATTTGCTCCAAGTGCCTTGGAACCTCTGTTCTTGTTAGCACCGAAGTTTTTAGGTTTCTGATTGCGTCCGACTCTTGAAATTTTGAACTGAAAATTGAAACTGTCAAAGAAGGGTCCTTCGGAGCATCTGAGATTATGCAAGATCCATTCTTTTTTGCATTAACATGTTGGCTGCTGCTGCTGCTGCTTTTATACTTATGAACAGTGTCCAAGTGCTAACATTTTTGGATGTACATAAATTAGAGCCTGGGAATAGCATAGTAAATACATTTCTTTTATCCAAGCTTAGAAAATTTGAAGTTATAGCCTCTTACAAGTTTTGCTCCTTGTGCAATAATATTTCCTTCTATCTGCTGCATTTGTCCTACAGTATCTGCCTCTTCTTGCTTTACTGTGTAGTTTAGGGTTTATGTTAATGCCATAGTTATTATAAATGTGCTTCTCTGGCATCTCTGCCTCTTCTTGCTTCACTGGGTAGTTTAGGGGTCATTTGGTTGCAGTATTAAAGGGGTGTATTAAGGAGTCATAATAAATTACAACTCCAAAATATAATCTTATACTGCATTTGGTTGTAAAAAACAGTCTGTATTGTATATAGTCTTATTTCAAATGTTTATTCAAATAATACACTCTATCCGTACTATTGAGCCTATTATAATACCACTTGGGGAGGTGGTATCATAGTCTAATTCAAGCGTGTTTAGTTATAAATTTATTATTTTATTTATCAAATAAATAAAAACATTAATAACTAAACTAGATTGAAAACTCTATTATCCCTCACTTATTCAAAGTCATATTAAACACCGGATTAGAATGAGTATTAATTTTATCTCATATTTAATCTTGTGTTTTATTTACTTATACAAAATTAATTCGTATTAACTTGTACAATTATTTTTTTTACCATACAGCAACCAAACGGACGGACCCTGAGGGTTTTATGTCCACGACACATATGAGATAATTTTGCTTCTGCATCCAAGACTTGTGATAACCTTGTGAGACATCTATGAAGCTGCCTTTGCTTAAACGCAAGGTTCGAGGCCCCTCCCCTCTATTGTTACCTGAAGTGATAATGGCGTACAGGATCACAATTAAGCCCAAGAGGTGGCTATAAATATTAGCTGTAAATTTATGTATTTTGAATTCGAATTTTGACGATTTTTTTTTATTAACTCGTAAAGAATTTATCGTTCATAAATTTCTTGGTTTTCATAAATTCTCTAATTTCGGCATGGATGACCTCTCTTTAATCGGAATAAGAAGAGAATTAATCGAGGTACGTATAAGATAGTTTGTACATTCATGAATACAATACGAAAAAAGTAAAGGGAGTATTACACTTAAATTGTCTCAGGTTTATCAGTTAATTACTTAGATCATCTGACATTTAAAATATTATATACAGACCATCTAAAGTTTGTTCGTGTATAGCACTTAAACTCATGTCATAAATGTTTAGACCCCTTTAAATTTAAAATATTATACTTAGACCCCTTATTAGTTACATAATTAATGAAATTCGATCAAATTACCCTAATTAAAAATAGAAAATATTGTGTCCATTATACATTGACTCCTTATTTGTTTTTTAATTTTATTCTAATAGATAGTATAATTGTATACTAATTACAATTTTTTAAGAAAAAATTGAATTTTTATTTTTGATTTTATTTCAATAAATAATATAATATAATATAAATTTTAGTTGTAAAATTTAAAATATTTCATAATCTATCTTTGATTGGAGTATTTTTTGTCTAAGCGTAATATTTTAAACTTGAGAAATCTAAATATTATACGCCTACAAACTTCAAAGGTCCTAGGTGTAATTTATTAACAGATACACTAACAACATTAACAACAGGGATTTAAGTGCTACACGCATACAAACTTTAGAGGGTTTATATGTAATATTTTAAATATTAAGAGATCTAAATGATTAAGTGATAAACTTTAAAGTATCTGAATGTAATTCTCTCCAAAAGTAAAAGATCACAATTGAGTCCTATGGCCCACCCTTTTGGGTTTAGGTTAAGGTTTTTTGGTTGTGCATACATTTTTTTAAACTTATTTGAAATGAAGTGTATAATTAAGTATTTTATTCTATTAAGTTTAATTTTAATAAAACATCTTATAATTTAATATAAAATTCAAATGACATTTAAATTTTTTTACTTACTTACCCTTCCTTAAATTATACATAATTCTTATTCTTCTTTATATTAGTAGGAACTTCATCAGAGAAGTTGGGAATGAATTTAGCTGAAGAGTTTGAAACTGATTATTTAATAAAGTATTGAACAGTATTGGATTTTTTTTATTGACCCTTTTTTAACAACGGCCTTTAGAAAGAGAATATTTCGTGGTTATATCAATTTGTTATTTCTATCGCTCTCTCTTGAAAAGGCAAGGTTGTTGTTTCAATTGTACGAGTTTGATTTTCATATCATCATTCTGAATATTTTTTATTAGATAATAATATTATGGTATGAGAAGTTTGATAACCTAAAGATCAGATGTCTTTAAGTTTAAATCTAGCTTATTATTTATGTTTCAATGTAAGGTCTTTCAAGAATAATTTGGTCTAGTAATACTTTGCTAAAAATAATAACTCAAAATGGTCAACGTGCAATATAAGTGTGCACTAACTAATAAAAAAAAGGGTCAATTTGTCCACTTATTTATGTAAAAATTGGACAGGTAAACCACACGACAATGTGAAAGTTACACACAAATATTTACTCATAAAAAATAAAATAAAATAGAGAGTAAATATTGGGTGTAACAGTTGTATTATGTCAAAATTGTCATGTAAAGTTATCGCTCAATGATAATTCAAGAATTAAATAAAATAAACCCGTTTCTTTAAAATAACTATTTTTTTATATAAGATACACATATTTAATAAATAAAATTTATTTTCCAATTTTTTTATTTATTATTAAACAATTATACTACACAACAACGGTAACTTAATATATAAACGTTAGACTCGACATTTACTCCAAAACGGGAGGACAGCAGCATGTATGCAAAACCGAAACTTCTGGAATCACACAAACACGCATTCAAAAGCACAGAGCACCACTTGGTGTGTATGATTGATTGTTCACGAATCACGACGAATAGTTGAACCTTGCCTGTCCACCGTCAACCAGCTGTCACCCCAACAATCATTGCCAGACGGTAAATCCGGTCATCTACCCGACTAACCTCACTCCCTGCCCGAATCCCCCTCTCACACTCTCTGGTATATGTAACCAGTCACCGACACCGTCAACACTGCTAGCTTTTTACTTTGAACTCTTTAGCATTGCAGAGATCCATTTCTCTCTCTAGATCGAAACTCCAAGAGAACATCAATGGCGTTGTCTCAGTCTAGAGCTTCACTCATTGCTCTGTTTGCAGTAATCGTTACGGTTTTCTCTCTCATCGGAGCCTCTCTCGCCGCCGAGGCTCCTGCGCCTGCCCCTGATTCATCCGCCGGAGATATCTCGCCGTCTTTCGCCGTCGGATGCGCCGTTGCCTTCATTAATTTTCTCTTTGGATCTGCACTCAAGATCTGAACATCTCTCCGTTCGATGAGGCTGTTTCTTCTGGTTTGGCTGATATTGTGTTCGTGAGTGACTATTGGATGATCGTATATAGCGTTGGTATGTATATAGAGTATTGATTTGTCTTTGTTTTCTGGCTTTTTTCGATTTATGTAGTTTGATTGCTTGGTTTTCTTGTAGGACATTGCTTCTGCTATGGTTTTATTTTTTTTCTATTAGACCTTCAATTTACGTTGTGACCATCTGCTCTTTATTTCTGCTTTCTCATCATGTTTAAGCGCTTGTTTTTCCAGTTTACGAATGGAATTTTGCGTTTTTAATTGGTTTTTGAGCTTTTTTCTGTGTTTATTATGTCCTTATTTCCCTCTTTTTTGTTCAACGTGATCGTTTAATCTTTGATTACAAACTGAAAGGTGCTTGAAAATGGTACACATGGTTTCGTTTCTTCCATTTTCAACAGTTTTTTGGGCAACCAAACGGGGATTGAAGTCCTTGCTTAATGAGATCTTCTCTGATGATATGTAGAAACGTAAAGAAACGTCATAAAAATTCGAGATTCAACTGGAGAAGGGATAGTCACTGGAGACATGGATAATTTGTAAAGTCAGACATTGTGAGATTGAAATTTGAGAAAAAAAAAAATTGGGGTTGAGATTACGAGGCCTCATAAATTTTTTATAGTTAGTTTGCTTTTAACTACGTCAGATAGAAGAGAGAGTTAATCGAGATATGCCTAAATTATCTGGAGATCAGATCGGTGATTGTAATATAAATCGAGATTCACCATTTTGATTCTCATTCTGTTGTATACTGGATGTGAAATCTTCCTCTGTTTTTGATTTGTTCTCTGAGTGAATTGCATTTGGGGTGTACTATGGCTGATTCCTTGAAGAAAATCTCAACATTTTGCATTGTGAAAAAGTGATTTAATTGCTTCGCTAGTTGCTAGAGTTATAATCAACTCGCCCATATTCTTTACTCTATTTTCTTTCAAATAAGGAGGTCTTTTCCCAAACAGGAGATCAAAAATTATGCAAAAGATTGATTTCTAGCGTTCCTCCTTTGGTGTTCTATAAACCCACTCTTTATTTTCTCTCTTTTAGGTATTTTAGGTAGTCAAATACTAAAAACACATTTCAACTCACCCTCGATTTCTCATTTCATCCAAATAGCTAGAGGTGCAACTTAGGTTGGGCAATCTGATTTCAACCTGAGCGCAACTTGAAAAAATTAAGATTTAGATAAAATTTTTTAATACTTGAATTGGGCTTGGGTTAAAAAATTTTAACTCGAATTTAATTTAGATTGGACTCAGGTTCAACCCGAACCCGACAAATTTTAAAAAAAAAATAAAATATATATAAAGCATTAGCATTGGTTTTTCATTTTTGGTGTGAAAGTAGATGATCAATAATCGTGCATTGTTATGAATGAAATATATGAATTATGTTTTATAAATTTGTAATTATTCTCCCCTCTCTGTCTCTCTTGCACTGGACTGGTGGCAATGATTTTTATGTTTTGATTATGATTTTTATGTTAAAAATTTGGTTGAAGTTATTGATTGTTAATTTATGTGAATATTATGTTATATATGTATTAGATTTAGAATAAGAAGTCTATTTTGGGTTTTACCTGAAATCAACCCAAATTGAACTCGTAAAGTAATTCGAAATTAACCCGAATTCAACCTGAGTTGGCCCGAATTAAACTTGGGCAGTGCTCGGGTTGAATTCCTCAATCCGAGTTAGAGTTAGGGTTAGGGTTAGGGTTAAGGTTAGAGTTAAAATTGGGATTTTTGGAAGTCAGTACACCTAATTAGACTTATTTGACAAAAAATACATATTAAAAAATATTTTGGAAAAAGGTACATTAGTTTACCCTATAACACTTTACACTTTCTATTAAGAAATGTGAGACATAAGATAATACTTTACACTTTCAAAAATATTACACTTTACACGTGTGTGTGTGTGTGTATATATATATATATATTAACAAATACACATGAATCAAGATACATTAAATGCTAAAGTTCTCTCATAAAATTAGGAGATATTTAATGCACCACTTTTCAAAGAACATACACATGGATCAATGAAGGACAAAAATGTCACAAAAAAATGAGGCAAATTCAAATTGTATACTTAGATACAAATAAGTATTAAAATTAAGGACTTAATAAACCTACATTTTTTAGTGTGTACTTTTTGTCAAATAAATCTAATTTGGTGTTCCTCCTTATAATTTACCCTTAAAAATTATATTTTTAGGGTTGGGCTAGGATTGACTGTCCAACCTGCCCAATCCGTCTGAGTTGCACCCCCTTACAAATAGCTCTCCAAATGTGGAGAGTCATTTAATCTCTCCAAAGTCTCTCTTTATCTTGTTCTCTCTCTCTCTTTCTCTCTTTATATATGTGTGTGTGTGTGTGTGTGATTGCGTTTAAATTATTGGAATTTAAGAAAAATTAGGTAAAGTAGTTAGTTAAAATAGAGAGTGTGGTTAGAGTGAACTTATAAAAGTGACTAGTTAAAGTAAAGAATATAATATTTATATAATAAAGTATAATACAACTCAAATCTTAAAAGATAAACAAAATAATTTTTGTTATTCGTGATTGAGATCCCTTTTAATTTTATTTGATGGCTAATATTAATACTCTAAATTTAATAGAGAAATAAGCTTCTAAAAGCGTGTTTGGGGTGATTTTTTAAAAGTGTTTTTAATACTTATAATTTTTCATAAATATTTAAAGTGTTTGGAACCACTTCACCACCACCACTACCATCATCACCCCCATTGCTCCACCACTTCACCCCCCACCGCTATTACCATTACTACTACCACTACCACAACCACCTCAACTATTGCCACCCCACTACCACCAATGTTACCACCCCACCCACCACCATCGCCCCCCCCCCCTCCGCCCCTTACCACCACCATTATTGTCGTTACCATACCACCTTTTACCATCACCGTCGTTGCCACCCCCACCACTCCACTAACACCACCACACCACCATTCCTATTACACCCACCACCACCATCACCGTCACCACCACCCCACCACCACTTCCACTATCTTACCACCGTTGTCATGACTACTGCTGCCATTCAACCACCATATCTACTGCTCGACCACCACTACCATCACCACCACAGCCGTCACCTCCACCCCACCACCACTGTCCAAGCATCACCTCTACCACCATTACCCATATCGCCTCACCACCACCCCTTACGACCATCACCACTACCACCACCACTAACATCGCCATTACAACCTGCCATCACTACCATCACTCACTCTTACTATAATCAATGTTTAAATTTTATTTTCTCTCTTCTATATTTGTGATTTAATTTTAAAGGTGAATACAAATATATTTATTGTTGACAATTTTTTTTTATTACTTTGTGCTTTCAGACACAGGCAATAACTAGTTTAAATATATTTTAGCTAATCATTTTGAAGAGCCAGGTTGGAAATGCTCTAAATCTCCTCTTTTTTTCGATTTTTTTAGTTGTATATCGTGTTTTTGTTGTGAAATCAATACAATTTGGATAATATATACACACAATTGAGTATTAAAAAAATAAAGAGATAAAAAAATTAGTTCTCCAAAAACTTAAGAGGATTTGATTTTCAGGTTCTTCTCTCAAATTTTCTCTTGTATATGTCACTTAATTTGTTAAGCACTATTTTTATAGACATCATTTACTATATAAAATTAATCAATAATTAATTCACCGACAATTATGATACACATTATTAGTTGGAATTGTTACACATTTAGTATGTCATTTATAAATACATTAAATATAATGTTTTAAAAATTCTTTGTTAGATGACCACTATATTAAGATGAATAATGCTATTTAAAATTAAAAATTTGACCTAATGATGTGATTTTATTGTAATCATAGAATTAACATTAAGTTTTAATATTTAATAGGGTTTATAGTCAATTTAATAGTTATAATAAATTAAGTTAACAAATTAGATCAATAAATTAAATTTCAACAGCATTAATTGTTTTATTGAAACCTTGTCACTAATGCTCTATTTGGCAAGAGGGATGAAAAATTGAAAAGATAGAAAAGTGTAAGGAATAAACTTTTCATCCTTGAAGAAAAGGAAAACACTATCCCTACTTTGTATATGGTACAATAGATGGAAAGTTGGAAGAATTAATTTTCTATTGTTTGGTAGCGAAGGAAAAGTGGAAGGAAAAAAAAGATACATGTATTTAATTTATCATTATACCCTTATATATAAATATATTTTAAGGGCAAAAAAGTCCATTTCTTCAAAAAAAATGAATAAAAAAGTCAAGAAATTAATAATTTGATGTGAGACCCACTAATTTGGTACACTTGTACATAAAAAATGACAAAATAGGTGTACTCAATCCTTCCATTTGTGGACTGATTAAAAATGGCGGGCTTAAAGGATATATTTTTCACCTAATTTTCCTTTTATACCAAACAAAGGAAAATGTCATTTTTTATCCACCATTCTTCATCTGTCCGCTTTTCTAGCAAACCAAACGGGCTATAAAATCAAATAGAATAAAACTTCGACCTAGGAAAAAAAAAAGGTGCAGTATTCAAGGATCATGCATTTTGATGTGGATTCTCTCCTGATAAGAGAATCAATCGAAGTGCTCACTCACCCGATATATCTGCATCAAGAGATAAGATAATCGTACGTTATACTTTTTTTTTCTTTTTTGTTTTCTATTACTAACTTGTCTCAATTTCATAATTTTATTGACACTCATCTCTGGAAGAAAAGACTTCGTTTCGAAATCCTTGTAAAACTCATTAAAAAATATCCATAGAAGGCTTGAGTTCTTCGAAAGAATGGTAAGTTTTTCATTAACAACTTGTTATTTTGCTTAATTACAAGAAAATATGCTATTAGATTAGAATATAATTTTATTAAATTGTTTTTGATATATTTTAAAAAAAAATTCATCCACATTCTTTCTAGATAAACATATCTTCAACTAGGCTCCCTCATATTTTATGCATTTTTTTACGTTTTAGAATTCAGGTCGATTAAAATTCGATTCGAGTTGATTAAAATTAAAATTTTTATGTATTAATCAACTCGCATTAAATTTAATCAGCCCAAATTTTGATATATAACAAAATATAAATTTTAATCAACTTGAATCGAATTTTAAATGACATAAATTTTAATAAGTAAAAAAATTAAATTTTAATTGACTTGAATCCAATTTTAATTAGTGCTAATAACTCAGGCTGAGCTCAAATTGACTCGAATTTTAATACGTAAAAAAATAAAAATTAATTAGTTTGAATTGAATTTTAATTGGTTCAAATTTTAATATATAAAAAAAATTAATTTTAATCGGCTCAAATTTTAATATATAAAAAAATAAATTTTAATTAATTCAAATTTTAATCGAATTTTGTGTAAAAAAATTATTTTGAGTTTATGTAGGGCTAATTTTAATATTTTAGATGATTTTTTTTTTTGTTAGAAAGTGCCAGCGTCAACAATGTTTAAATATAAACTAGAAGGAATGTCAGTGATATTTTGACTAATAGAAGTAGTGTCCTTGAATATATGATAAATTAGGAGTGTAGTTGAAATTTTTCGTATTTATTTCTAATATTTCATTTTTAGTAATTGTTATCTATATAATTTTAATAATTTTGAATAAGGGTTAATTGTAAATTGCATCCTGAAAGATCATTCGAATCTCAATCTACATCCTCAAAGATCAAAAATCTCAATTTACACCCTAAAAGATAGAAATTTGTATCAATGTATTCCTAAAACTAAATTGATAAATTAGACCTAGATACACTTATGCTTGTCACTTAATCATTTACACCCCTTCACATTTAGAATATTACTTCTACATCTCATGACGTTTGTACACATATAACACATAACTCTTTTTCGTTAATATCTGTTAATATAACCGTTAAAAAATATGATTTTATTCTAATAAAAAATTATAATTTCATATTATACTTTATTTTATGGGTCTAATATACTTTAAAGTTCAAAATCAAGCTTATCATTTGAATGTCTCATAGAAAAAAAAGTTGCACATTGAGTGATATATTGCATTGGATATAAAAATATTATATAAATATCTATATTATATTGGACATTCAAATGGTAAATTTAATTTTGAACTTTAAAATATATCGGACCCACAAAATAAAATGTAATATGAAATTATAATTTTTTATTAGTATAAAATCATATTTTTTAACGGTTATATTAACAGATATCAATGAAAAGGGGTTACGTGTTACACGTGCGCAAACGTCATGAGATGTAGGAGTAATATTCTAAATATGAAGGGGTTCAAATGATTAAGTGACAAGTATGAGGAGATCTAGATATAATTTGTCAATTTAGCTTTAGGTGCATATTGATATAAATTTTTATCTTTGAGGATTCACATTGATACAAATTTTGATCTTTAAATATTTAAATTAAAATTCAAACTATCTTTCAAAATGCATCTTGCAATTAACCCTTTGAATAAAGCTGAGTGATACTCTATCACACTTTTTGAAATCTTACACCCTTAACCGTGACCAATAGTGACGAGTATTTGGTTGTATAACAATTTTTTAATGTTTTATTTTTCTTTTTGAAATTTGTTCCAAAAGTCGAGTGAAGTTTTTACCATGACATGTTCAATTTGTAATCATTTTCATATAACGAACAAAAATCAATGTTTTTGTACTATTTTATAGGGATGCGATATTTTTTTAATTATTATATTATTGGAGTTGATAACAGTTTGGTGAATCTCATCATTAAGAATTCGGGATGAATAGTTATTGTCAAAAGCGATAATGACAATCAACGATATACAAAATTAATTTATGCACCACACGTAAATTAAGTAATATAAAATACAATAAAATAAAATGAGATAGAAAATAAGATTTGTAGTGGTTCGGTCAATATGATCTACGTTTACTTTGAATAACAAGGATCTCCAATATTTATTAACTCCGATGTGTATGGAGAGTAAAGAGTTACAAACTTTGAGATAAAAGTGAGAGAATTATGTTCAAATGAATAAGATGCCCCCAAGTATTGGTGAAATTTATAATTTTATAATGATTAAGTGTAGTAATTAAATAGTTAGTCTAATGGTCATAATGCGTTGAGACTGTTTAATAATCATAACGGATTAGGGTGACTTTAATAGTAATTAAATAGTTTGGCGACCTCTCCTCTCCTCTCCTCTCCTCAACGGGCAAGAAAGTTATAGTGCTCTCCAAAAGACTTGGTTAAAGAATGAGAGAATGTTGACTCTCTCTAGGCCGTGAGGGAGAAGCTCCTAGAATGACCCATACTTCAAGGTGGCGAGGAGGAGACTCTTGGATAATCCTTACTCCAAAATGGTAGAGGAGACTCTTGGATAACCCTTATTCCAAGATGATAGAGAAGACTCTTTGATGACCTTTAATCCAAGGTGGTAGAGGAGACTCTTGAATGACCCTTGTGTGCTTCATACTGATGTAACTCTTTAAACTTTGATGAACTTGACCAGGATAATCACATTGGACTGGATTTGGTGGATCTCTTAGAGTTGGGCCTTTAACTCAGATCGAACTTATAGCATGAGTAGGATCTTTGAGCTTGGCTCATCAACAACAAATTCAAATTTGGTGATGTACAACGTTATTATAAATTACTGAATGTATAGACGTGGTTGTGACCAGCATATCGAGCAGGGTTGTTCTACTTATGCATTTCATTGAATAAACTTTTTGTAATCCATTTGTTACACTAAAGATAAAATGTCAATCTAAGTGAAAAACTAAAAAAATATCAATATACCCTCGATTTGAATCATAAGATAAGGATCCGTTTGTTTAGTGGAATAATGGTAGAAAATACTAGAAAGATAAATTTTTAAAATTTTTTATATGTTTGGTTAGCTTGAAATAGAAAATCAAGAAAAAAAATAATTTTCTTTCGTGCTTAGATATTTTCATAACTAATCAATTTTTTTTCTTGTAAAAAATTTAAAGAAATATAAGAATGTTGTGATTTATGACTAACTTTTCACTTTATCCTTATTTTTCTTCAATGTCTTATCTCAAATTTTCTTTTTGTACATTACTGCTTTTTTTTTTTTTTTGGGAGAGGGGGAGGAGGCTTGAAACATTGACCTCAAGAAAGTAAAACCTTCACAAACTAAAGAGTACCATTGAACCAAAAAATTACTCAATTTGTCTATCTTTAAATACATTAAACGGGTAATGTTTATAGAAGTTTCTAATTTTTTTCATGGATGCAGTGTTATTTTCTGTAATAATTGTGTTATATTAAAAGTAAAAAGCTACTTGCAAGAGAATTATTTGATCCCTTCATGTAAGGCCATTCAAAAGAACAAATGTTGACCCTTTAACAGGAAATAAAATCATGTTTAATGTTTGTATAAGTTGTGGCTTGGTTTTTGTTTGTTATAGAGTGATTAGATTTGCACAAATTATCCCTTGAACTCGGATATTGTTCACCGTAATCCAAGTGAGTTTAAAACATATTCCCTGAATAACAAATGTGATCGACATTTAAAGAGTATAAAAAAATGTTTAATTCGGCCACTGAACAACCCTGGTTCATTGCCATAGAGAAAAATGCCCCCCTTCCCCCTCTCGTGTATGTGTCTCATTGTTGACAAACTTGCACATGGGATCATTCCCCCCCCCCCCCCCCCCCCCCCCCCCCCTTCCCTCCTTTGTGTGTATGTGTGTCATTGTTGTCAAACTTGCACATGTGATCATTTTTCATTTTCTTGCAAGGGGGTCATCAATTGAATGGTGACAAAAAACATAATGGTAAATCAGAATCACAAATTTTGCTAGTGTGAGGACATTAGATCAGCTAGGGACCTGGTCCTACTGTAAATCACATGACAACTCCTCCTCCTTGTATCCAGTCGTTCTTTTTGATGTGTGGTGGCTTTGATGTATTCAACTATCATGTTTCTTATTTTGTACTCTTGACTATGTAATTAATTTCACATTGTCTCAATTATTAACGTTTATTATCTATTTCATTTTGCATTCGAACTACATAATTTTTTTCACTATGCCTCGACACGGCAACAATCTTCATCCAAAAATATGATGGGTGTTTATGACCGGAAAATGTGAAATAATCAACTTAGTTGAGGGAATTCCTTCCGAAAAAAACCGTAATTGAGGGAAAAATGTAGAAAATTCAATAGTTCAAGAGACAAAATGAAAAAAAAAAAAAAAATAATAGATGAGGAGGTCCAAGTATAATTTATCCTTATCCACAGTACACTAATAGTATATTACTAAATTTGTATACTGAATTCCGAGAGTCGCACATTTACCACCTTTAGATATCAATTAGAATCAGAATACTCCACCATGTCTAAGATTAAGATTGAACTCAACATGAGCTGACTCTCTAAGATAGAGTCACGAAAAGTTGATTAAAACACCATGGTATTATATATAAACGTAGTGCTAAATCTTCTTTGTTACTACTTATAAATGAGCATAGCACCAAACAGACAAGACTACTGTTGAGGTAGCTATAGTGCTTGTTAATATTGGAAATAATCAGATTGGTATTTATTCATCCTCCACTGAATGTTCTCTGGTTATGTGGTGAGAGCACTTTCCCATGGTGGAGTTGATCCAAGTGGACGAAATCCGTGCAAATCATTCAATTCAACATCAATAACCGAGATTAGTAGAGGCACAATATCGAAACCAGTACCACCATAATCATACCCATTTTTATAACTATGTTCCCTTGATTTTTTGTTCATTTCTCGTTTTTAAACTGCGAAAACACAAGCTCAATTACCACATCTCCTAGGCTAAACATGTATGGAAAAAGAAGAGGAAAAGGAAAATAAGAGCTAAATGCATAGAAGCAAAACAAAAACTATTCAAGGAAAAGAAAGTGTTGGGGGAAAACTTCATATATAGGCTGCTAGAATATTTTGCTCTGTTAGTGATGAAACACAAAATGAAACTTATCTTCCAATTCCCTGCATCCTCGATCTGCTTAGGATCAACAACTTCCATTCTCTGCCATCACCACCATCCTGTTTTACATTGACTCTTCGAGAACACCCCATTTCTGTTCCATGGAGTTTCCTCTATTCCGAGTCGGAGTCCATGTTGCCCATAGCCTTTAGCCCTCTTGGTCTCTGCTGCACCATACACAACAGAAGCTTAAATTGTTTAGATAACCACTCCAACCAACTTAGTCCAACCTATAAAAGTAAACATATTGTTCAAATGAAAATAGGTATCGCGAACTTCTGTATTAATGTATAAATGTCACGCACCTTCTTGGAGACCTTTTTCTCTCTCACCTCGTAGCGTTCTAAGGTTAGATCACATAACCATGTCCCAGGACATACCAACTGTACACCAAAAAAAATCACAAAGAAAATCAGATAGGCAATGCTACAACTTTAGCCAATATCCATAGAAAGTGAATGAAAGAATTAGTTTCTTAACCTAATGATAATACAACAGCTACTGAGGAGCCAATGTTGAGGGGGGAGCCCTCTTGTCATCGCCAAACAATCGGAAAAAAAAGGATAGATAATTAAAAGGAGTGACTTGATTGTGCTCCCGAATTTGAATCTCCTCTACTACATTAACCCGATTAACTTTTGTCCTCGTCGATTTATTTAAAACCAACTACAAATGAGTAGGGCCTCCACTAATATACGATGAATGATTTAACATCGAGTAAACAACAAAAACGTATACTTGAGGGAACTGATGGATCTTATGCTCCCAATTATGTTAGTGTCTTTAAATCTTAGTTTAAAAGTGCGTTTGGATAAGATAATCGCATTTACGTTAAAAAAATTCACAACTAATTACACCAAAAATTTCAGGGAATATTAAACGTCTGAACAGTGTCTGTTGTGCTTTGTTAGTTGCCATTGTGGTCCAAGGAAACTCCAAGCAAGGAATAAAAAACATATACCCATATAGGTGCCACCCACAATAAAAGAACAAAAAGTAATAAAGACCTTTTTTGTTGATAAGTCTAAAGAGCTGTCCATCAATCAATCATTCACAATACACACAGCACCAAGAATTTTTCAATCAATCAATCGACCCTTTCCAATTTTATAGTTCATTTCTCAAAATAATTTTGTTTTACTTAAAAATATGATGTGAACTAATATCATGTGGATTTGAACTGTTATTATCATAAAGTTTACAATAATCAGAGAAATAATTTAGAAAGTACCATATCATAACAAAAAATTAAAATCTCAATAGAATTGTATTGAATTTATAATATAAAACAAGACAGATTTTAATAAGTTCATTCGACGATTTCAAATAGACTCATCTAAAAATTATCAATATTTATTTTTAAAATCATTCACATTATATAGTACCTTCACCCTCTAGTTAGTTGTTTAACAGTATATTCACCCTCTAGTTAGTTGTTTAACAGTATAGGGCCTCGTACCAAACCCACACCAAAGCTTCAATCTATTATTCTGTCAGTCATAGGACTTGAAAGGTTTTGGATTAATAAAAAAACCAACCTAAAGTGACACCTGCACAGTACATTGTACCTGTTGTGCTACTATACACTATCTTGGCCTTTCTCGAATAAAGAAAAGGCAAAGTAGTGCATAACCCATAAATCTCACAGCTCCACTATACCCCACTAGTACCTAAACCAAATTATAAATTAATGACCTGCGTAATTTATCATCCGTTGAAAATTCCTTTAAAAACAAAGAAAATACTATTTAAACATAATTTAAAATTTTAATCAAATACTAACCGTTGAATTAATTAAAAGTGAATTTTATTTAACATTAAAATTCACGACTAATTTAATAATTTTATTAAATTAGATCTCTAATTAAGTCTCCAAAATCAGCCTCTACAATATTTTTCTAAAAGCGAAGGCTTTTTTCTCTTTTTGTTTGAGAGCATGACGGTTAGAAATATTCAGACAAATTTATGCGTACTTCGATTAATTCTCTCCTCGATTCCATCATACGCACGTCTGATTTTGCCTACAACTCTAGTACTTTTTCTCTTGACAAACAGCTTGATTAAATTCACTCAAGTACTTACTTAGATTTACACAATTTCGTTCGATTATTAATCACTCTAGTTAATTTACCAAAACCCACAAATATCCATGGTAAAAATAGTTGTCCAAAATTAGTATTAACGAAACTAGGAAATTGAAGCAATGAATCAGAAAACTTACATTAACGGTGCGTTGAATGAATTTGGCTCTCTTCTTGGGTCTCTGAGGGAGCTTGGACCCCCTGAGAGCCATGAAATCCTCCTCTTTCTCCTTGTTCGTCAAAGCGATCACGAACTTGGGCGGCCACACTGCCGGGATCGCTTCACTCCCCGAAGATGACCCCCCTTTCTTGCTATCATGGGCCGTCTCCGACGACGCCGACCCACCACCACCACCACCACCACAGCTTTTGGCATCTAAATAATGGTTGGTGATGGACCTGGTGGTGGCGTTTGTATTGTTGTTTGTACCTTTCTTATCATGAGCACCCCCTCTGTCTGGAGAAGACAGTCCCTTTACACCGTTGCCGTGTCCCCTCATGGCAATTGAACACTCAGAATTCCTAAAAAAAAAGTACCAAAAAACAAACACAGAGAGACAAAAAACAAAACAACCCATTAGAACATGCACATGATAATAATTATCATATATTTTATTTTAACTCAAAAAATAATTAATAATATTCATGGGTAAAAGTAAAATTACTTATATAACCTTGTGGGTTTGATCTCTATACTCTGGATCAGTGGTGATGGGGTGGAAACTGTTGGGTAGGTTTTGGGTCAGAATTTAAAAGAAGGTTCGTTTGATCTCTGATACCCAAAAAAAAAGTGTTACGAAGATGGGGGTGTGTTTGTGAGTGGTTCAATCTAACGTGCACAGTTGGGGGAATGGGAAAAGAAAACTTAAAGACTAAAGGAGATGGTGGTTTCTGGCAAGATTTGAGCCGTCTGTTATGACGGACCCAGTCCTGATCCAAACCATTATCCACCGTTGGATCAATAATCCAATTAGGAATATGTGGGACACGTGGAAAAAGAACTCCTGATCCACTTTTTTTAAGCATCCTAGGACAAAGATGGTACAAGAGTCCGAGCTATGATCACATGTGACGGACACATGAAATTGTCACCAGCCATGTTTGCGTCGACTTTAAGTATTCAATTATGGTGCGTGAAAAAATATTTTAACTCCAACACCCAACACCTCAAATTTCATGAATATGTAATCATAAACATTTTTTTCCCTCAATTTCTCTCGTAAATCATCCATTTGTTCAATAAAAATAACCCTTTTTTTTTTTTTTGTCAGTCATCAAAAGAGAAAACTACGAGTTTCAAACCCACGACACCACAATATTCTAGATCATTCTTGAAGTACAAATAAAATTTTATTTTGGTACATAATTTAGATCACTTCACCTTAGGAAAATATGTCAAAAAACAATTTAAAAATATCTCGAAATAGATAGAAAGAACTACACTGAAACAACTCAACCCATAAAAATTTCGATATTGTATCACTTTGATCGTTTCCATTTCCGTTTCGACCCGATTTAGGAGAAATCAAAAAGGAATAAATCCACAGCCAGCCAAGAAGCAGGCACACACTCCCCAACAACCAAATAGAGGTCATCCGCTGGATTTTGACTTCGTCCTTGGCGGGGCTACTTTTTACGCATAGGTCCCATTCCGTGGGCTGTTACGGACCTAAAACCAGCAGAGACTACATTATTACCAATTCTAAAATTAAAATAAGTCTTAATATATTTAGATCCATCATAAATTCTACGTTAACCTACTACTTTCGTCCAATCGATCTTACAATCCCGAACGTTAGGAGTTCGACGACAAATGATCATCCTTAGCATCTCTCAAACGTAACTAATACTTATAATTTGTGAATATGTTATACATATTCGAGTTTATTCTCATAGGAATAAATTCAAAGTCGCCTTGCCAACTCTGTCCTGATTTACCAAACCAAACTCGATCACACTACTTCCCAAATAAATCACAATAAATGAATGACGAGCAACCAAACAGAACATTACCCACTCCTCTACCCTTTTTGCTCAGATTCTAGTATTCTACCATCTCCACGAACACAGTCTCCTTAACCCACGCGCCACTCACGCACCACAATGCAACAACCAATTTTCGTACCAAAAACTTCAACAACCTTCCGGAACGTGCATGACACGCGGACCAAAAGTGCAATTAGCTAAGAATATAGCATGTACCTGAGAATGCGACGAGACGGCGATGCTGACCGTTGAAGATTCAGATAACCGCCGTTATTGGTATGGTTGTTGATGGTGGCCGTAGGTTGATTCGAGTCCTTATTGGGATCCATTCTGACAACCCGACGATCGACCCGAACCGTGGTTCTCAGAACATGGGCTGGGCCGGAGGAGTCGTTTTGCTTGGTGGTGGTGTTAGTGTCCCTGTTCTGAAACTTCATACACCGCAATCGCTTCCGGTTCCCCCACTGCAACACGAAGTCAGACGACGTTGTAGCTTGCGATCTTGTCTCAGAAGAGTGGTGGGTTGATCTTAGTAACAACCCATCTCGATTGTGGTGATTCTTCTCCATCTCCCTCTCTCCTTTGTACACCTGTTTCCACCACGATTGACTGAGGTTAGTTTGGTAATCTCACTATGTGTAATTTTTCCACCAATTAATTAAAAAAAACTCGCATAACAAGCAAAAAAGAAATTCCATTTGGCCAATTGCATTCTCTGAAACTTCCGATAAAATTCAAGCAAAAGAGAAAAAGAGTCTAATTTTGATGATGGAATTCATAAATTTCAGATTTTCGTTTGAAATTAGAAAATTATGGCATGTATTGTATGGAACTTTTAGTACTGGGTTCTGAAAATTGATGTCCTGGTAAAGATCTAACCTCCTAACCAACCAGAAGCTCTTTTGGTTGCTGAGAGTACTGCCCAGAAAAGGAAAAAGTTTTTGAAAATGATTGCGTTTGGATTTTGGGAAAAAAAACTGGAAGAATTGCCCCAAATCTCAGTAAAGTGGAGGCTTTCAATTAGGGGGTTACCCGAGATATTCAAAATATATACAGAGATCAAATTGCAATCTTTTCTGTGCCCCTTTTGCATCTAGACATCAACCAAATCATCTACAAAATGAAGTAAAGAAGAGGATTTGAAAGCAGTGAAAGAAAGGAAACCCAGCAAACAAGTTGGGACTCAAAATGAAAAAAAATTGCAAGAAATGGTTAATATTACAGATATCAGTCGCAGAAAATCAAAAGTAGCTAGATAGAGAGAAGTGCAGGATCGATGACGATTGCAAAGTAAGTAGAGCTCAGCGAGATATCTGAGAAACAATCAAACTATAGAAGACCCAAATCAGAGAGAGAGAGAGACATCAATTAAGGAACTAGACAAGGACAAACAACAAGAGGGACTAATTTGAGCTGAAATTGAAAATATAGGAACAGCCATTGGAAGGCTGAAAAAAACTGGAAAAAGATGATACGGAAGAAAAGAAGAAGAAAACAATGACGCAGATTGCCGATAAAATCTAAATACAAACCAAGAGCGTGAATAGCTACACTTCTCTGCGAGAACAGCAGAAACTTGGAAGGGTCCATCTCAGAAATCATCGCCATTACCTGAAATCCTTCAAATCTGTTCCTGCGAATCCAATTATGAACAGATGAAGATGATTCAAGAAGCAACCCAAGGAAGCAGAGCAATCAAAAGAGCTTTGGGTCTCTGAAAATCAACGCGATAAGAGGCAAACGATCAGATGTATGCTCCGCCTTTCCTGTTCTAAAGGCAATTCGATCAAAACAGAGTCGCCCAAAAACACTGCAAAAAACAGAGTACATCTGATCATCAGCTAAATAACAATATGAAACTTGATATAATTCTGATATCGTCAAGAGGCATTTGATTTTGTACCTTATATACTTTCATATTTCATTACACTGCTGGTGAATTTCTTTCTCTCTCTCTTTTTGAGTTCCAAATTAGACGGTTGAATTAACATAAATTTCGTCCCTAATGTCTTTTGAGTCTTAAGATGTATCTGTATCTTCCGAGGGTTGGTAGATTCCTCAACACAAAATGACGATAATTTTCGATTAATGTCTTCAGTCCGATCTTTCAAACCCAGAAACCGATCTCTCCGGTTGGAAAACTGTCCCCAATCTCTTGCAACTGCACCTGTCAGACCGCATATTGAACAAAAACACAAGTTAAACACATAAATTGATCAGAACATATAGATAATAGTTCGTAAAAGATCAAACATTTCTCTTCAATTACAAACCTCGCACTCAGATTTAATGTTCCCTTTTTCTTTCTAACTCCTGTGAAAGGACCCAATCTTCAATAAAGCCAAATCGAGTTCGAAATCTTTCTCGATACCTCTTCCAAACTCTTCACATGTCTGTAAAACAACATTTTCAAACAATCTTAAGTCATTTTATACAATTAATCAAACGAAAAGAAGAAATCGACAATCACACTCTGTTCTCAATCAGCAACCTCCCAAACTCTAAATCTCTCTGCACCTCAAAAAAAATTGCAATCCCTCTGTCTCTCTACACAATATCCAAATCTTCACAAGCTCCAGATCTTCTGACAACAAAATAACTACAACATTTCACTCATCAAATTTTCTCAAAGAAGATTTTCTCAGCTTTTTATTTTCCGAGAAAGCGAAGGAAAATTCAGAGACAGAGCTTCTGAATTTCCAATAGAACGAAATGATCTCTCTCTCTATCTCTCTTCCTTCAAACCCCTGTTTTTATACCCTGCCTTGTTGTATTTCAATCTCATACTGCACTACAGTGCATCTCTTGCCGTTCATTAGCAATCGAACGGTACAGATCTCTCTTTATTTAAACCGTCAGGTCCCCGTCTTTTAACGGACGGCGTAACTCTGTCCCAACTTGAACACATCATTTCACTTCACGACGTCAAGGGATCAAACGGAATCTTTGACGCTGTTAGTTCGCAATCACTTATTTTAATTTTGTTTATTTTAATCATAGAGCTTTCTCGCTAACCAGGGGCGATGTGTTTAATAGAGTGGGAGTAACCTAACCACGGTTATTATAACTAATCCTGGTTAGTTTTGTTTTTAACGTGACAAATTGGTCAGTGTTTATTGTACCATCGTATGCAAGCGCATCTATTTCTTCCTGGGGAATGATATATTGTGCGCGGTCTTATGTACCGCATTCATGGGGACGCAAGACCCACCATTCATCCATGGCTGAAAGTTTTGATCGGAGTATTTTTAGTAAAATATGTTATTTTAAATTTAAGGGGTTTAAGTATTACACGTCTATAATCTTTAGGAGGTTTGAATGTATTTATCAACAGATATAATAACGGACATTGATGGCAGCGGTCTAAGTGTTGCACGCGTACAAACCTCAAGAGGTTTATGTGTAATATTTTAAACATCAGAGGGTCTGAGTGATTAAGTGACAAACTTCAGAGGGTCTAGATATAATTCTCCTAATTTTTTAATATTTATAATATAAAACATGACAAATTTCAATAAGTTAATTTGACAGTCTCAAATAAACTCATTCAATGACCACTAATATTTCTCTTAAAACCATTCAAATTATACTGTACTTTTAAGCATACGTTGGCTTAGTTTATTATATATCATCAATGTGAAGGAACCTTTACGGCTACTAATTTGGATGACAAATTTATAAAAATAATAATAGTTGAGATTAATCAAATTTTATTCAAACATACTAAATTCATGACAAAAGAAAAAGTCGTTTAAAAATATTATTTTATTTGCGTGACTTCAATGTCATATAATTTAACTAACACACTCATTAATACCAAACAATTTCATTAACTTACACCTAATTCTTTATTTTCTCTCTCCTGCATGTCTCTTATTTTATTTAAATTACTATTTAAAATATAAATGTTGTATAATTAATGCTCAATTTTTAGTATTACAGAGTATTTTCAAGTAGAAAGTTATTGCTCAAGCCAGTCCAATAGTATAAAGAATAAAACCTGGGTTTTAGGCGCTAAGTTTTTAGAAGTTTTCATAATTTTAAATACATTTCTAACCTACAAAAAAAATTAAATACATTAAAATTTTAAATTTTAAAAAATCCAAAAAATTAAATTTAATCAAAATTTTATTTCAATAATTTAGGTCAATGATTCAATCCATAATATTATAAACCTAAAAATCAAAAAATACTCAAAAGTTAACTAATATTTACCTCACTCATTCTCTCTTTCTCCAGGTAAAAAATAAAAAATATAAATAAAAGTTAAAATTAAACTCTCTCTCTCTCCGATAAAAAAATAAAAGTAAAAGTTAAATTCTTTTTCGATAACACTAACACATTATTGGTCTATCTCTCTCACACATAAAAAATTAAAAATAATACTAAAAAATTAAATAAAAAAAAACCCCGTTTAATGTTTTTGCTCTAGGTCTCAACATGCCTTGAGCCGCTCCTAGTTATTGCTAGTTATTTCAAAGAGCAATGTTATAGAGACTTTATTTAAAGACCTAATTTAGGGATTTAATGATGTGATTTCAATGTAACCATTTGATTAGTTGTGAGCTCTAATATTAGATGAAATTCACAATCAATAAATTAGGTCTTCAAATTATATCCAAATAGTATTTTTCTATTTCAAATATCAACTTCCAACACTGAAAACATGCTATGCAATGGCAATCATGCACAAAAAAATTTATTTGAGAAACTTAATGATCGAGAAAAAACAATGACATGTCAAACCTACTATGAAATGAGAAAACTATTTAAAAAAACTACAAAATACAAAATAGGCTGTCGGATGTGTTTTTTCTATAGCTTTATGACAAATATATATTATTTTGTTGGCTTTGCAAGAATTAGACTCGATGACTTATCTATTTATTAGCAATAACTATATACCTATAATATAAAAAATTGAACATTAATCGTGTGATATTTTTATTTTAAATAATAATTTCTTTTTATTTTATAAATTATGTAATTTAAAATAAAAATAAATAAGATAGAGATGGGGGAGAGAGAAAAAATAGATAAGTGTAAATTAACGGGGTTATTTGATATAGGAAATACTATGTAACTCAAATTTGTTACCCAAATTTACATCCCAAAAGAAAGGAGTCATTAGATTAGATTAGTGGGTCATATCAACTTTTTTAAATGAAATCCACTAATCCAATAGTCCCCCTTTATTTGAGAAACAAATTTGGGTTGTAGATTTGAATTCCATAGCATTGCTCAGCATGACATTGAGTGTGTGTTAGTTAATTTGTGTGACATTGGGCCGTGCAAAGAAAATATTCTTTTTAAGCGAAAAAATAAATTTGGGAATGAATTTTATACAATTAAATCAAAGTAGATAAAAATTAAATCAATATTAACTGTTATTAAGTTTTTATAAGTTAAGAATTTAAATTCTTAACTATATATATATATTTATTTAAGAATAAAAATTATAGTTGGTCCTTGAACTTTTAATTATCTTAATTTAGTTTTTCAGCTATCAATTTTGTCTCAATTAAGTCCTTTCATCCATTTTTACCGTTATATCAACATTGAAATGGATCAAATTAAGTTATTCTCTAGTTGATTTAACGATAAAAATTAATGGAATGACTTAATTAAGATGAAATAGATAGTTAAGGGACTAAATTGAAGTAATTGAAAAAGTTCAGGGACAAAATTGCAATTAAAAAATAAAGTTCAACGGTCAACTATAATTTATATGCCTGCTTTGTGTATTTTAGATTGTGAATGTTTAATTATTAGATCTGAAAATTGTGATTGTTCAGACATTTAAAATGAACGTAAGACTATTCTACATTCTTTTATCTGCCTTGTAAATCAAGAATTTAAACAATAGGCAAAATTAGAATAACATTAATTTTCAGACTTCAACTCTTTATATTTATCAAACAATTTGATTAAATTCAATATTTAAATTTCAGTTGATATCAAACAGTTTACAAATTAAATCATTCAGTATTCAATGTTTAGCTTTCAATTTTATCAAACACCATCTAAGAATATGTTTGTTAACTCAAATTCAACACTTAAAAAGAATATTTTCGACACTTATTAATTATGTTTGATAATTAAAAAAAAAGATATCTTAATAAGTTAAGTCCTCTTAAAAAATAGGCTAAAATATTAAATAGGAGATCTCAATAATTTTGAGAGTATCATTTTTTATAATTTTCTCAATAAGACAATTTTATCCAAAAATGTTTCACAATAGTATTAAAACTGTAAGTGGTCTTTTATTCTCTCTCCTCTCTTCCTGTGCTCACACAATCACACACACATAATCACACGCGCACACAGAGGTTACACACACACACACATAATGCAACACAATCACCCACCCACCCACCCACACAGTGATTACCCTACAACACCTACAGCCCCCCCCCCCCCCCCCCCCCCCCCCCCCCACACACACACAGAGATTAGAACAAATATTTTTCGATTTGGTCAGAGTTTTGGTGTGAAGCTACGATTTAATCAAAGAATCTTATGAAAATTTAATCAAAGTTTTCAAATCAAATTCCTTCGGATAAAAAAGGATCAAAATTCATTTTACTCTTAAGATTGACAAACTCATTCATAAGCAACTGTAATAATTTTTTTTTTTAATAATCCAAACTAATTTGTGGCAACGCTATAATATCATAAAAATACTCGAATCTTATAATTAAATAGTGACTTATTATAATTTATTTGGTGTAAAGTTATGATTAAAAAAATGCCAATTAGAATTTAAATGGGTCAAGTTAAAATTTTAAATGTAGACTATAATGTGATAAAAGTGATTATAATTTATGTTATAAATTATTTTTAGTGATATATCGTAATTTTTTGTTAGTTAAATGCATATTTCATTAATAATTTCGTAGTAAAGAGCGGAGGGGTAAAAGTATAAAATAATTTATTTTTAGATGTTAACTCGATATACTTATCAAACAATTTAGT